CAGGCTTTTGTTCCAGTTTATTTTACATCAATGTAGATGAAGGAGAGGAGCTTAGAAGTTACTTCAGACTATTGAGATGCACCCCATGTCAAGTAAGGGGAGAAACGCCTGTGGTCCACTGATATATATGGTATAATTAAGCAATAAGGCCAGATGGGGTGTGGTATATAGCCAATATACCACAGCTAAACACTGTTCTTACGCCCTTAGCCGTGGTATATTGGTCATATACCACAAACCCCAGAGGTGCCTTATTGCTATTATAAACTGGTTACCAACGTAAATAGAACAGTCAAAATAAATGTTTTGTCATACCCGTGATATACCACGGTTTTCAGCCAATCAGCGTTAAGTGCTCAAACCACCAAGTCACCCAGTTTATAATGTGTGATATACAGTGTATAAAACATTAATAACACCTTCCCCTGCCCTCAGAACAGCCTACAATCGTTGGGGCATGGACTCTACAAAGTGTCGAAAGCGTTCCACAGGAATGCTGGCCCATGTTGACTCCAAGCTTCCCACAGTTGTGTCAAGTTGGATGGATGTCCTTTGGGTGGTGGAACATTCTTGATACACACAGGAAACTGTTGAGTGTGAAAAACCCAGCAGCGTTGCAGTTCTTGACACAAACCGGTGCTTCTGGCACCTACTACCATACCCTGTTCAAAGGCACTTAAATATTTTGTCTTGCCTATTCACTCACTGAATGGCACACATACACAATCCATGTCTCAATTGTCTCAAGGCTTAAAAATCCTTCTTTAACCTGTCTCCTTCCCCTTCATCTACACTGATTGAAGTGGATTTAACAAGTGACATCAATAAGGAATCGTAGCTTTCACCTGGTCAGTCTGTCATGGATAGAGCAGGTGTTCCTAATGTTTTGTACACTCAGTGTATATGGAAGAATGTGTTATACACTGAACAAAAATATAAACACAACATGCAATAATTAACGATTTTACTGAGTTACAGTTCATATAAGGAAATCAGTCAATTGAAATAAATTAATTGGGCCCTAATCTATGGATTTCACATACAGTGCTATGAAAAAGTATTTGCCCCCTTTCTAATTTTCTCTACTTTTGCATATTTGTGATACTGAATGTTATCAGATCTTCAACCAAAACCTAATATTAGATAAAGGGAACATAAGTGAACAAATAACACAACAATTACATATTTATTTCATAAACAAAGTTATGCAACACCCAATTCCCCTGTGTGAAAAAGTAATTGCCCCTTACACTCAATAACTGGTTGTGCCACCTTTAGCTGTAATGACTCCAACCAAATGCTTCCTGTAGTTGTTGATCAGTCTCTCACGTCGCTGTGGAGGAATTTTGGCCCACTCTTCCATGCAGAACTGCTTTAATTCAGTGACGTGTGGGTTTTCAAGCATGAACTGCTCGTTTCAAGTCCTGCCACAACATCTCAATTGGGATTAGGTCTGGACTTTGACTAGGCCATTCCAAAACTTCCAATTTGTTGCTTTTTAGCAATTTTCCTGTAGACTTGATTGTGTGTTTTGGATCATTGTCTTGCTGCATGACCCAGCTGCGCTTCAGCTTCAGCTCACAGACGGATGGTCTGACATTCTCCTTTAGAATTCTCTGATACAGAGCAGAATTAATGGTTCCTTCTATTAAGGCAAGTCGTCCAGGTCCTGAGGCAGCAAAGCATCCCCAAACCATCACACCACCACCACCATGCTTGACCTTTGGTATGATGTTCTTACTGTGGAATGCAGAGTTTGGTTTTTGCCAGGCATTACTGGAACCATGTCGTCCAAAAAGTTATACTTTTGAATCATCTGTCCATAGAACGTTCTTCCAAGAGTCTTGATGATCATCCAGGTGCTTTTTGGCAAACTTGAGTCAACCTTTTGGACGAGATGGGTCCCATTATGCCTGGCGAAAACCAGTATTCCACAGTAAGAACATCATACCAAAGGTCAAGCATGGTGGTGGTGGTGTGATGCAACAAATTGGAAGTTTTGGAATGGTCTAGTCAAAGTCCAGACCTAATCCCAATTGAAATGTTGTGGCAGGACTTGAAACGAGCAGTTCATGCTTGAAAACCCACACGTCACTGAGTTAAAGCAGTTCTGCATGGAAGAGGGGGCCAAAATTCCTCCACAGCGACGTGAGAGACTGATCAACAACTACAGGAAGCATTTAGTTGGAGTCATTGCAGCTAAAGGTGGCACAACCAGTTATTGAGTGTAAGGGGGCAATTACTTTTTCACACAGGGGAATTGGGTGTTGCATAACTTTGTTTATGAAATAAATATGTAATTGTTGTGTTATTTGTTCACTTATGTTCCCTTTATCTAATATTACGTTTTGGTTGAAGATCTGATAACATTCAGTATCACAAATATGCAAAAGTAGAGAAAATTAGAAAGGGGGCAAATACTTTTTCATAGCACTGTAACTGGTCAGGGGCGCAGCCATGGATGGACCTGGGAGAACATACGCCCACTCACTTGAGAGCCAGGCCCACCAACTGGGGAGCCAGGCCCAACCAATCAGAATGAGTTTACTACAGACACAAAAACTCCTCAGTTTCATCAGCTGTCTGGGTGACTGGACTCAGACGATCCCGCAGGTGAAGAAGCCGGATGTAGGTCCTGGGCTGGCGTGGTTACACGTGGTCTGCGGTTGTGAGGCCAGTTGGACGTACTGCCAAATTCTCTAAAACGACGTTGGAGGCGGCTTATGGTAGAGAAATGAACATTCAATTATCTGGCAACAGCTCTGGAGGACATTCCTGCAGTCAGCATGCCAATTGCACGCTCCCTCAAAATTTGAGACATTTGTGGCATTGTGCTCTGTGACAAAACTGCACATTTTAGAGTGGCCTTTTATTGTCCCCAGCACAAGATGCACCTGTGTAATGATCATGTTTAATCAGGTTCTTGATTATGCCACACCTCTCAGATGGATGGATAATCTTGGAAAAGGAGAAATGCTCACTAACAGGGATGTAAACAAATTTGTGCACAAAATGTGAGAGAAATAAGCTTTTTGTGCGTATGGAAAATGTCTGGAATCTTTTTTTCGGCTCATGAAACATGGGACTTTTTCCACATTTTGTTACATGTACAGCCTTATTCTAAAATGGATTAAATAGTTTTTTTTCCACCTCATCAATCTACACACAATACCCCATAATGACAAAGCAAAAACTGGTTTTTAGAAATGTGGGCAAGTACTTTGTAGAAGAACCTTTGGCAGCGATTACAGCCTCAAGTATTCTTGGGTATGACGCTACAAGCTTGGCACACCTGTATTTGGGGAGTTTCTCCCATTCTTCTCTGCAGATCCTCTCAAGCTCTGTCAGGTTGGATGGGGAGCATCGCTGCACAGCTATTTTCAGGTCTCTCCAGAGATGTTCGATCGGGTTCAAGTCCGGGCTTTGGCTGGGCCACTCAAGGACATTCAGAGACTTGTCCCAAAGCCACTCCTGCGTTATCTTGGTTGTGTGCTTAGGGTTGTCCTCCTGTTGGAAGGTGAACCTTTTCCCCAGTCTGAGGTCCTGAGCGCTCTGGAGCAGGTTTTCATCAAGGATCTCTCTGTACTTTGCTCCGTTCATCTTTCCCTCGATCCTGACTAGTCTCCCAGTCCCTGCCGCTGAAAAACATCCCCACAGCATGATGCTGCCACCACCATGCTTCACCGTAGGGATGGTGCCAGGTTTCCTCCAGACATGACGCTTGGCATTCAGGCCAAATAGTTCAATCTTGGTTTTATCAGACCAGATAATCTTGTTTCTCATGGTCTGAGAGTCCTTTAGGTGCCTTTTGGCAAACTCCAAGCGGGCTGTCTTGTGCCTTTTACTGAGGAGTGGTTTCCATCTGGCCACTCTACCATAAAGGTCTGATTTGGTGGAGTGCTCCAGAGATGGTTGTTCTTCTGGAAGGTTCTCCCATCTCCACAGAGATCAGGTGCTTGGTCACCTCCCTGACCAAGGCCCCTTCTCCCCCGATTTCTCAGTTTGGCCGGGCGGCCAGCTCTAGGAAGAGTCTTGGTGGTTCCAAACTTCATCCATTTAAGAATGATGAAGGCCAATGTGTTCTTGGGGACCTTCAGTGCTGCAGAAATGTTTTGGTACCCTTCCCCAGACCTGTGCCTCGACACAATCCTGTCTCGGAGCTCTACGGACAATTCCTTCGACCTCATGGCTTGGTTTTTGCTCTGACATGCACTGTCAACTGTGGGGCCTTATATAGACAGGTGTGTCTTTCCAAATCATGTCCAATCAATTGAATTTACCACAGGAGGACTCCAATCAAGTTGTAGAAACATCTCAAGAATGTTCAATGGAAACCCGATGCACCTGAGCTAAATTTCGAGTCTCATAGCAAAGAGTCTGAATACTTATGTAAATAAGGTATTTCTGTTTTTTTTATTTGTAATAAATTTGCAACAATTTCTAAAACACTGTTCGCTTTGTCATTATGGGGTATTGTGTGTAGATTGATGAGAAAAATAATTATAATTTAATCTATTTTAGAATAAGGCTGTAACGTAACAAAATGTGGAAAAAGTCAAAGGGTCTGAATACTTTCCGAATGCACTGTGTATATATAGTATAAATAAGCAGTAAGGCCAGAGGGGATGTGGCATATGGCCAATATACCAGGGCTAAGGGCTGTTCTTATGTACGACACAACGTGGATACAGCCCTTAGCCGTGGTATATTGGCCATATACCACAACCCCCAGAGGTGCCTTATTGCTATTATAAACTGGTTACCAACGTAATTAGCAGTAAAAATACATGTTTTGTCATACCCGTGGTATATGGTCTGATATACCATGGCTGTCAGCCAATCAGTATTCAGGGCTCGAACCACCCAGTTGTTTAATTATATATTATCCTATATGTTAGATAGATAGATAGGGTATACAGTACTGTGCGTTTTATGTTCCATCTATCTATCTATCTATCTATCTAAGGTATGTATGATGTGTATCCTGTGTGTGTTTTCAGGCTGTCAGGAGAGACCCCGAGGAAAGGCCCAGCCACCATGCCGCTGTTCGGTAAATCCCACAAGAATCCCGCCGACATCGTCCGGACTCTGAAGGAGAACATGGCAATCCTGGTGAAACAAGACAAGAAAACAGATAAGGTGTCACACATCTTCATAACACTAGTCCTTACACCACGAATCCTCACTAAACAAATCCTTACAACACAAGTCCTTATAACAGTCCTCACAACACAAACCAGTACTTCCCTTAGAAAAGGCCCACAAGCAGGTGTTGTGTAACATTGCTGTGGGGGCCTCGGTGGACCTCTTCTATTTGATCCAATCAGTCAGTTGGTGTGGTTCATATTACGGTGGGCCTCTAGCTGACACTGGGCTGTGAATGTAGCATCGCTGCCTGGCCGGTCCTTCATTGCCACCCAGCTGTAAAGGCCCTCTCTCCACCATGGGACTGTTAGAGAGGGGCTGTCCAGACAGAACTCCCAGGAACCTGGCTCTAACCAGGCTGCTACCACACACAGCCAGGCTATAGTGATCTCAATACAGTCCACTCCTGTCATATGCAATGCTGATATCCAGAGCAAGTCATTAATAATGTGTGTTATGATTGGGCCTGAGGCTGAGACATTATTATTGTCGATCAACAATGACAAGCCTATAGGTTGTAGGTTGAGAGCTTTTGTGAAAGAGCACAGTTGGAAAGATATGGCATATAGAAGCAAACCGGATGGACGTCATGAAAATGATCGGAGAGGTTGAGGGTAGAAGAAGTTCAGGAGTAAAAACAAACAAAATAGAATTATTGTAAAATTGACTGTCCATAAAATGTATAAGCTGGAAGTAGAGGCCTAAGCGTTGTTGTTCACTAGTTTTACTCCAATTAGGGAAGGGGTCGTGGGGTTGGAAAGTAATACAGGATAATAGCGGATGATATTGCCACTCCTATTTGCCATATCTTCAATTTAAGCCTACTAGAAAGTGTGTGCCCTCAGGCCTGGAGGGAAGCAAATGTTATTCCCCTACCTAAGAATAGTAAAGCCCCCTTAACTGGCTCAAATAGCCAACCAATCAGCCTGTTACCAACCCTTAGTAAACTTTTGGAAAGAATTGTGTTTGACAGGATAAAATGTTATTTCACAGTAAACTGACAACAGACTTTCAGCACGCTTATAGGGAAGGACATTCAACAAGCACAGAACTTACACAAATGACTGATGATTGGCTGAGAGAAATTGAGGATAAAAAGATTGTGGGGGCTGTTTTGTTAGACTTCAGTGAGGCTTTTGACATTATCGATCATAGTCTGTTGCTGGAAAAACGTATGCGTTATGGCTTTACACCCCCTGCTATATTGTGGATAAAGAGTTACCAGTCTAACAGAACAGAGGATGTTCTTTAATGGAAGCCTCTCCAACAAAATCCAGGTAGAATCAGGAATTCCCCAGGGCAGCTGTCTAGGCCCCTTACTTTTTTTCCAATCTTTACTAACGACATGCCACTTGCTTTGAGTAAAGCCAGTGTGTCTATGTATGCGGATGACTCAACACTATACACGTCAGCTACCACAGTGACTGAAATGACATCAACACTTAACAAAGAGCTGCAGCTAGTTTCAGAATGGGTGGCAAGGAACTAAAAGCATTGTATTTGGGACAAATAATTTACTAAACCCTAAACCTCAACTAAATCTTGAAATGAATAATGTGGAAATTGAGAAAGTTGAGGAGACTAAATTGCTTGGAGTAACCCTGGATTGTAAACTGTCATGGTCAAAACATATTGATACAACAGTTGCTAGGATGGGGAGAAGTCTGTCTATAATACAGCGCTGCTCTGCATTCTTAACAGCATTATCAACAAGGCAGGTCCTACAGGCCCTAGTTTTGTCGCACCTGGACTACTGTTCAGTCGTGTGGTCAGGTGCCACAGAGATGGACTTAGGAAAATTGCATTTGGCTCAGAACAGGGCAGCACGGCTGGCCCTTGGATGTACACAAAGAGCTAACATTAATAATATGCATTCAAATCTCTCCTGGCTCAAAGTGGAGGAGAGATTGACTTCATCACTACTTTTATTTGTGAGAGGTATTGACATGTTGAATGAACCGAGCTGTCTGTTTGAACTACTGGCACACAGCTCGGACACCCATGCATACCTCACAAGACATGCCACCAGAGGTCTCTTCAGTCCCCAAGTCAAGAACAGACTATGGGAGGCGCACAGTACCACATAGAGCCATGACTACATATAACTATTCCACATCAATTAACTCATGCCAGCAGTAAAATTTAATTTAAAAAACAGATACAAATACACCTTATGGGGGACTGTGAAGCAACACAAACATAGACACATGCATACAAACACACAGATTTTGTGTTGTAGATATGTGGTAGTACATTTTACATTTTAGTAGACGCTCTTATCCAGAGCGACTTACAGTTAGTGAGTGCATACATTTTTCATACTGGCCCCCTGTGGGAAACGAACCCACAACCCTTGCGTTGCAAGCGCCATGCTCTACCAACTGAGCTACAGGACGCCTACAGTAGAGTAGAGGCCTGAGGGCACACACTTAATGTTGCGAAATCTGTTATGAATGTATTGTAATGTTTTTAAAATGTATGATTGCCTTAATTTTGCTGGACCCCAGGAAGATTAGTGGGGATCCATAATAAATACAAATACCAGTGTCTACAGAGCTAAGTACTGTACCTCCATAGGGAGTCAACTAAATGTCTCACTCTTGTGGTCAACTCAAGTATAATACCATGGCAATTTCTTTATTAACAACATAACATTATTAGCAGCAATACTGTTAGAAGTACATATTGTGCCTGTGTGTCTAACTGGTGTCCCTGTCCCAGGCGTCAGAGGAGGTGTCTAAGTGTCTTGTGGCCATGAAGGAGATACTATATGGGACCGGTGACAAGGAGCCTCACACAGAGACAGTGGCCCAGTTGGCCCAGGAGCTCTACAACAGCGGCCTGCTCATCTCCCTGGTGGAAAACCTTCAGGTCATCGACTTCGAGGTGAGACTGAGCCACAGCCGGACCATCAGGGTCGTGTTCATTAGGCACCAAACGGAAGAAAACGGTCTGAAACAGGGAGGCTTGCGTTTTTGAAACGTTTTCCATTGCATGTCCCCAGGGGAAGAAGGACGTGTGTCAGATCTTCAACAACATCCTGCGGAGGCAGATCGGCACCCGCAGCCCCACCGTCGAGTACTTCAGCTCTCACCAAGAGGTGCTGTTTGTGTTGCAAAAAGGGTGAGTTACACACACACTCTTCATGTACCACAGCTGACCACAGCCATTGGTATGAGACTCAGTGACGCGTGGGTGCATCCCTCTCCTCCTGCAGGTATGAGACCCCTGGGTCGGCGCTGAACTGTGGCATCATGCTGAGGGAGTGTATCAGACACGAGCCCCTGGCCAAGGTGGTCCTCCACTCAGAACACTTCCAGGACTTCTTCAACTACGTAGAGATGGAGACCTTCGACATCGCCTCAGACGCTTTCGCCACCTTCAAGGTCAGATTACGCAAGATTTGAAAGCGTCTTTCGGTCCTGGAAAAACGTTATATTAAACCCATATTAATAAGACTAAGATGGGCCCGAGATGATATGCTAATCTTTACATTACTGTTGTATCTTTCTATGACCATTTGTTTGAATAATAATAATAATAATAAGAAATAATAAGCCATTTAGCAGACGCTTTTATCCAAAGCGACTTACAGTCACGCGTGCATACATTTTTGTGTATGGGTGGTCCCGGGGATCGAACCCACTACCTTGGCGTTACAAGCGCCGTGCTCTACCAGCTGAGCTACAGAGGACCACGTTGAAAGTTGACTAAATGTATAGATCAGAAATGATTCGATGCAGCAGATGATATGCAATATACAATGTTTTGTTTTTGTGTGAATTAAAGTGACCACGTTTCCTCCCCCATTCACAGGACCTGCTCACAAGACACAAGGTCCTGGTAGCTGAATATCTAGAACAGAATTATGATGCAGTAAGTGACATGTTCAACATTCTGCTGCCCTGGGAGCATTTAACCTTTAGCAGATGGAGTTCATGGAAAGAAAATGGTTTTGTTGTTGCACCATCCACCCTCTGCCCTCTTCACAGAATTCATGAAGGAATGGGTGAATGCATTTGTCATCACACACTCGTACTCTCATTCATTGCCATTTACCAGATGAATACACTGAAGTGTGTGTACCGATAAACAACGTTTTGATTGATGACCCATCCTCCCATCCTCTACAATGAATGAGTGCATTTATACCACACATAACACACTTGCCACATACACTCCAGGCATCTATGGTCACTGGTTTTCCCTGCTTGCATAAGACCACCTTGTCTGTTGGTTGTAGTGTGGGGCTCAGGGAAGACCCCAGGGGAGAGCAGACAGGCCAGACTGGAGGCTGCTCGGGTTACAGGCCAGACACTACCCTACACTGGGCCGCACTAGGTTACAGAAGGCTGTCTTTCATGCCAAGGGCCCCTGGAGGCCTATCGCACACACAGGCCCAAACAGCACCCCTGATAAGGGCCCTTTCAGACCTGACTGAGAGATGAGAGAAAATATCACAACTTTAATAGACATTCGATAGACATTCCATCCTATTAACTATCTGCAACGCCTATTTAATTCTATGAACATCGTTTTTCCTCCACTTTCTTAGTTTTTTTGTGAATGTATTTTTGACTGTTGAGATGCAGCCACCCCTCAACCTGTTCCTTTGTGTCGTTGCAGATCTTTGACCAGTATGAGAAGTTATTGCACTCTGAGAACTATGTGACAAAGAGACAGTCATTAAAGGTGTGTTCTATAATTAGTTCACATTTACATGGATTATTTATAGACTAAAACTTTGCATGCTTTTATCGTGTTGATTATCTTGCTTCATAGTAAACATTTGCATACCCTGGTCTTTGTGTGTAGTTGTTGGGAGAGCTACTGTTAGACAGGCATAACTTCACAGTGATGACCCGGTATATCAGCAAGCCTGAGAACCTGAAGCTGATGATGAACCTACTGAGGGACAAGAGCCCCAACATCCAGTTTGAGGCCTTCCACGTCTTCAAGGTACGACATAACAGCCGTTCCCTGAGCCGTTCATATACAAAGTCTGGCAAACTGGCCTCCATGTTGGCCCCAAACGTTCCATGGCAATACCATTTGGGTTCTTACTAGAATGTAATTGCAGACATAAATGTAATGTACAGAACTGACAGGCTGACCCCTCCATCCAGGTGTTTGTGGCGAACCCCAACAAGACGCAGCCCATCATAGATATCCTGCTGAAGAACCAGACCAAACTCATCGACTTCCTTAGCAACTTCCAGAAGGACCGATCGGACGACGAGCAGTTCAACGACGAGAAGACCTACCTAGTCAAACAGATCCGAGACCTGAAGAAACCCGCCTCTTAAAACCTTACCCCCCGTCCGTCCCCCAAACCCTTCCCCTTAGCTATGACCTTTACCCTAACCTTTACTTTTTATTGACCAAAAAAAAAAAAGACAAATACATTAACAATGATTCTATTTCAAATATCAAAAGACATTGTCTTTTTCTTGGTTGCTTAAACTTTGCAGAGAATAGTTCTCAATCACTGATGTTTTTCTTTCTTTGTATTTACTTTTTCATGAACTATTTTATCATTAGTGTAGGTGTCACAACGGGACGTCTTGAGGAAGGTGATTTCCTCTCTTGGGGGGAACCAGATGGTTAAAGAGACCTCTAGGTGAATGGCTGAGTGAGCGGTGGAGACCACTGGGCCTCACTTTAATTGTGCAAAGATTTTTTGCAAATGTTTTCTTTTTCATTGCCACTTGCAGGCATGAGCCAGCTAGATAGTTCAGACTTCTTTCTTATACACCCCTAATCTAACCGCAGTACAACTGAAGTATCCACAATCCAGAATCATAGAAGGAATTGCTATTCTTCTATTAGAGGATCTAAATGGTATTCTGAATTGTTCCGATTCTAGAAAAGGTAGTAAGTAGTATTCTAGAATACTGTAACAGTATAAAAACACTAATGCTTCAGTCCCTGTACGTGTAGAACTCCTCTTCAGACTCACATTCCCTGCTAGTCTTACTCCTATGGTTTACATGTTTCAAAGCTGTAGTAGGTCCTCTGACATTTGACAACTCTAAATTGGATCCTACAAGGAAAATATTAATGTCTCGTGATCAGCAGGGCCATTTTTTTTTTACTGCTAAGTTCTATTCTATACGTAGGTTGTCAATAGTTTTGATAAGTGATTCTCTTCAGATGGCTGGTAGCACTTTCTGTATCATTCAACGCGAAAGGATCTATTCCTTTTTGGTTTATTTTAAGCTGATTAAATAGTTTCTTGTTCAACAGGGCTCTAGCATTATCTTTCTTTTTTTTCTTGTCTTGTGTATAAAAGCTGGTTTTAACCCATAAGTGAGTGCCAGTGTGGGTGACAGAAATCCCACTTCGGCACTTTTGGCTGACCTCAATTAAAAAGAGGGAGATTTTTTTTTCTGTACGAAAGTGATTTCTTTAACTTGTTTTCTTATTTAGATGCGAGTGGAGGGGGATGGTTGGAACACAGTAACAGTTGAAAACAGACAGTACATACAGAGGTGCCTTTGTTTCTGTGTCCCCTTTGTATTTTAAATACTTTTCTAGGCGGAGCTTAATTCTTATTTAGAAAAATATGGTCTGTTTGAACATAGTCGTGATTAAGGAATGAACCTTGAACTCACTATATTTGAGTTGTGCTGTTGAAGGAATATTTTACTTTGAAAAAACATGTTGCAGTTCATTAATCGCATCATGAAACTAGGAACCAGGAGGCCAAAAAACTTGGACTATGATTGTCCAGGAAAGGTAACCGTTAACATACCAGTAAACTGGATTAGGTGGAAGCATCTTGCTCTGAAAAAAAGAGCAAGATGGGGAAATCCAAATTAAATAATCTCACAGACAAATTGAGCCAATGCATTTTTTTAATCGTGGTGGTTGATCTTGTAAGTTACGATCACATCTAAATTGAAAATATGAACTCATTAATATGGCTCTTTAATGTAATATTGACTAATAAATCAGATGGGCATCATGCCACGAACAAGTGATTGTTCTCTTAATTGCCAAATAATTTTTTTACAATTGGTAGATTGGACATGACATGGTACACAAGGGATAGTATCCTCAAAGCCATTCTAGCCCTCGGGGAGGGTGGATGGCGGGCGTTAAAAACAGGTTGAGACACATGGTGTCACCAGTTCAAAACCCAATGCGGCTTTTGTTTTCCAACCTACTTAAATATGTTTTAGTACATATCTACTGACATTCTAAATGACTAAAAGAATGAACAGCTTTAATATATATACAAAAACAATAGTGGTGCCCTCCCTCCTGCTGGCGCAGTGAACTAGGCACTGGGCTAGGGACCACAAGGTCACAGGTTCTAGTCTTGCCATGCCCAATTACCTTTCTCAAAAAAGGTATATTTAGAGCCCTAGTCCCTCCCTGTATGCAAATTGAGATTCCCAATGTTAAGTCAAATATTGATGCCTTGAGTCAATGATTTTAGAGGGACTATTTAAATGGTTTGACAATCCAGATCAGTTTACACTTGTAAGATATCAAGAGGTAGTCAGGATGAATCATCATCAATTATTTTAATCGTCTACACCGGTCTAGAAATGTGGTCACAATCAGAATGTGGACAAGATCAAGACACAGGGCGCATGTTAGCACCCGGTATAAACGGGGTTTCGGATGGCATAAACTGTGACTGACATTGTTGGATTAAAATGATAAACAAGAGACTTAAAACATTGACCCATTTCAACCATGGGATTTCATTTGAAAAGAAATCCCATTGATACTACTGTACCACATTCTACTGTACCACATCACCAATAAAGGATAGAAATGCATACATTGTTTCCCGCTTTGTCATATTTTATATAGTTTTTTTTTGCTGTTAGCTGCTGATTGTGATCAGTTAAAGCAGTTACAACAAATCTATGGCATGCTTTGACAGTTTGGTAAAACTGATGAAACAATTCAAGGATGTAGGAGCCAACCCTGTCTAACAAAAAAGCTTAACAATTACAGTAACAGACAAAGCACAGTTGCGTGGGTCAAGAAGTTAGTATCCTTTCAGGCAAAGTGCAATATAGTAACGGTAGCCTGCACTGGCTGGGATGTGACTTGGATTCTTTAAGTCTGGAAGAACTATAGTAAACTTAAAAATACAATCAACAGTAGCCTTCATACAACTTTCATTGTAAACTCTTCAGACAAACAATTAGGTAACATGCATTTACAGTTCACTTATACATACAAGACTTGCAATGACTTAAAAAAATATCTACATAAGCATTTATATAGTTATGTAGTACTATTTCCTTTGAATATACAGTCAGTCCTTTAAAATCACCTTGAGGTTACTCCTTGAAACTGTTCATCATTCATAAGGGAGTACGAAGAGCCCTTTGATTTTCCAACATTGTTAAAGTATCCTTCCTTACAGCCTTCCTTCTTTGAAGTAATCACTGATCTATATATGATTGGATAAATGAAATGTTTCCATTCCCAACAAGAGCCTGGGGACCTTAGCCTGGTGAAACCAGACTGAAAGCTACCTTACCATTGTTCAACAAACAAGAGAAAGGTCTGGAGGTGTTGCCGACCGTAACCTCTTATTGCATTGAAAGTCCTGTTCAGCCTGTCTCCCATGCTTCCCCACACATCCATCTGTAATCACAACAAGACATGGTAAACCGTGTGACATTACATCAGAGTCAAATCAGAGACGGTTAGCGAGCTGATCCGTCATCAGTATTGTGGTAAGTAGGTGGCAGCATGCACATTAGATTTGTGCGACCGCCAATACATTAGAGAAGAAGAAGACATTACGTCACTCTCTACAAAGTGACAAATGTCATGCTAACTAATGGTACAGAGAACGACAACTCACTGGTTAGATGAAGACCAGCATGTTCAGAGGCTCTCCTGGCCAGAGAGGACTTCTGCCACTGTGACGAAAACATGTTGTAAACACATTTTGTAAGAATATTACATCTGTAGAAAGGACTATTATGAGTATACCTCAATAGCCTAAAGAGGAAAACACAACGATATGTAAAAGCTGAATGGCAGACACCTAAGAGGAATCCATCCAGTTTTTTCTCATCAGTACAGATGAAGGAAAGATGAGGAGCGGAAAATACTATTGAGATGCTGCTACACCCATAGAAAACGATTCATCCGTCAATCAATGTAGGTACTCACAATGAACTTCAGGACTCCTTGGAGGCCGTCAAATCTGAGGTAGGAGATGTCTCCCTTGTCTTTGCCGCTGTCCAGGTCAGTGGTGTAGATCTGCTTGATCCCAGCTCCTCGGATCAGAGGGACACACTCATCACACGGACACTTAGTCACAAACAGCATGGTGTTCTCCTCCTCGCGGATCTCGGCACTCCTGGAAACGACAATCACATTTATTTATGTCATAATCCTTAAACCCAGCCATTAATTCCTGCCCCCTGGTCCGACTCCTCAGCTGTACCTCCTTGCATCCTCTCTGCCATCTGCATTGACCTGTAAGGACAGGTTGAGAGCAAATATACCCATGTACACCTTCCCTGTATTTCCTTCACCTACAGATGTAGGATCTTAATTTGATCACCCTGTTGCAAGAAAACTTTCCTTCAATGCAGGAAATGTAAAACTTGTAGTGTATTTGAGGTTTAAAAAGGCTTCGGAAGTTTGCCAATTCTACTTTGAAATTTCAGTCCCTTTACGAAAAATGTATCAACCCCTACAAAAATGTCCATTAATTATAATCCACATAATTCCCATTTCCTGCAATTAAGATCCAACATCTGTATCCTGTCCTCTCAGATCAGTGGAGATGAAGGGGGGATATAAGGGGAGGAAGTCACTTAGGACTATTGAGATGCAGCCCATGTCTTTTGTCTCCCCCTCCTCCTGACCTGAAGGTGAGTGCGTTCTGCTCAGCGTGGATGATGTAGCGGTACTTCCTCCTCTGGCGGTCCTGCTGTTTGTTGTCCATCTGGGGGTACTCTCCGTACTCCGAGCCCACTGGGTAGGCGTTGTACCCACAACCCACCAGGTAGAGCCGCCCTGTGCCATCACAACCACCCTAAAACAGGTGAGCACAGAACGCAGTGAATGCCAGTTTGATATTATCCCATTTTCATATTGAAATCTTTGTTACCAGCCAGGTTTTGGAATCTCCTTTCCACTTTATTTTTGTCATTATATTACAGAGGCAAAATACATAATATTAATGTACAGTTATGAGCATAGAAAATACAATAATGGTTTACTCACAGATTTCCCTTCTGCCCAAATGACAGCACCAACTCCAACCTTAGGGTCCTCTGGAATAGCAAGCAAGTAACACATTCAGACACGTTGCCAAATGGCCAATTTCAAAGGAATGTTCCATCATTTTAAACCTTCAGACAGATTGAACCACTACGGATTACAGCTTGTCCAGTTCGCCTTAAAACATGAACATATAATTAACCGTTTCAAAAATATTTTTGATTTCTTGAGTGAGTGGCTGACCAACCAATCAGAGAACTCCATTTCATAGCAGCTGTCGCTAACCACTAACGAGACTAGAATGCATTGTGGGATACCTTCTGTTCATCTGACATTTGATACCCCTCCAGGTTGACTCTCCAACAAAGGTGCAGTCAACCATTGGAGTTTACCAGTTATATCATAACAATAGTCTCTTCGCTCTCTTGTGTTTTTTATTTGTATTGCTTGGAACTCCATTATGCGATTCCCCACAAAATGTGGTGACATGTCACATTTACAAAATGACTTCCTAGTTTGAATGACTAATCTGGCTAGTATATAGACTACTATCCAGATATTTCAGGGACCTGTTCTGTAGGCCAACAGTCTGGCCTGTATGATGCAGTGTCTGGCAATCTCCTGGGACACCCCCTGAGGCTGGGGCGGCTCCGAGGTTGCAGGCTGGGAGTCCTTCCTGTAGAAGCCGTACTGGAGAAGAGGCACACTAGCAGCTACTGAGGCAAGAACCCCGACCAGCTCCCTCATGTTCTGACGCAGGTTGGAGAAGTACGGCTCCATGCAGAAGTTCTCCAGACCTGTAGCAAGACAGTGTCAAATCATCATTTATAAACACTATGTTTACCATTCATTCAACAGGATCTACTCAACAGATGGCGTGGCACGCGGCCTCTTGAGCAAAGGATTTCTATCCTCAAACTTACCCATATTGAGTTAGCCAATATAGCCCAAATACAGCTAGCCAGTGAACACAAACTAGTTAACAAGTATGGTTGAATGGATGTACTACGGACCTATTTTGGTGAGAATGTCACGGTGGAGCTGTTCGTGTGGGATTAGGAACTCTTTGGAGAAAGTGTCCAGGTTCCGTCTCCTCTGCTTCCAGAAGAAGTCCCCAGCGTCCAGGCCAGGGTCGTCCCCCGACACCCTCTCCATGAAGTCACACCCCCTGGAGGTCTCCTCCACAAACTGCTGCAGGCCGGGGGCCACGGGCTGCACCAGCACACTGATGTGGGGCCGGCTGTTGGACTTGAGCTTCTTGGATGCAATGGCGTCCAGCACGGCCTCCTGGGAAATGGAGTCCGTCCCGTTAGGCCCTACCGCCAGCAGACTCATCTCAGGGTCACCAGGCCAGAAGGAGATGCGGCTCACCCCAGCTGGAGATGACAGACAAGACTTTACAAGTGAACTCTCGTTGTGTGTGTGAGTGTGTGTGTGTGTGTGTGTGTGTGTGTGTGTGTGTCCTCACCATTGATAAGCATCTTGAGGCAGGTAGCGCAGGGTCTCCTTGAGAAGTAGAGGTCTGAGGCAGCCAGCCTGGGCCCGTGTCTGATCACAGCTACCTGCCCCACGTGGAGCTCTGGACCGGAGCAGTGAAGACCCACCACCCTCTGGTCCCGAACCACCACCAGGCCTGTACCCCGCGTCTGACAGAGAAAAAGACAGGAGGTAAGGGAAAAAAGCGATGATGCTCAATATGGTAATTTATTGCATGTTATCTATAGAAAATACAAAATAAATATGTTTTATTGTCACATACACCGAATAGGTGCAGTGAAATGTGTTATATCACATTTACATAAGTATTCCCACCCTTTACTCATTACTTTGTTGAAGCACCTTTGGCAGTGATTACAGCCTTGAGTCTTCTTGGGTATGACGCTACAAGCTTGGCACACCTGTATTTGAGGAGTTTCTCCCATTCTTCTCTGCAGATCCTCTCAAGCTCTGTCAGGTTAGATGGGAGCGTCGCTGCACAGCTATTTTCAGGTCTCTCCAGAGATGTTCGATCGGGTTCAAGTCCGGGCTCTGGCTGGGCCACTCAAGGACAATCAGAGACTTGTCCCAAAGCCACTCCTGCGTTGTCTTGGCTGTGTGGCTTAGGGTCGTTGTCCTGTTGGAAGGTGAACCTTCGCCCCAGTCTGCAGTCCTGAGCACTCTGGAGCAGGTTTTCATCAAAGATCTCTCTGTACTTTGCTCCGTTCATCCCTCGATCCTGACTAGTCTCCCAGTCCCTCCCCACAGCATGATGCTGCCACCACCATGCTTCACCGTAAGGATGGTGCCAGGTTTTCTCCAGACGTGACGCTTGGCATTCAGGCCAAAGAATTCAATCATGGTTTCATCAGACCAGAAATCTTGTTTCTCATGGTCTGAGAGTTCTTTAGGTGCCTTTTGGCAAACTCCAAGTGGCCTGTCATGTGCCTTTTACTGAGGAGTGGCTTCCGTCTGGCCACTCTACCATAAAGGCCTGATTGGAGGAGTGCTGTAGAGATGGTTGTTCTTCTGGAAGGTTCTCCCATCTCCACAGAGGAACTCTGGAGCTCTGTTAGAGAGACCATTGGGTTCTTGGTCACTTCCCTGACCAAGGCTCTTCTCCCCCGATTACTCAGTTTGGCCGGGCGGCCAGCTCTAGGAAGAGTCTTGGTGATTCCAAACTTCTTCCATTTAAGAATGATGGAGGCAACTGTGTTCTTGGGGACCTCAATGCTGCAGAAATGTTTTGGTACCCTTCCCCAGATCTGTGCCTCGACACAATTCTGTCTCGGAGCTCTATGGACATTTCCTTCGACCTCATGGCTTGGTTTCTGCTTTGACATGCACTGTCAACTGTGGGACCTTATATAGACAGGTGTGTGCCTTTCCAAATCATGTCCAATCAATTGAACTTACCACAGGTGGATTCCAATCAAGTTGTAGAAACATCTCAAGGATGATCAATGGAAACAGGATGCACCTGAGCTCAATTTCGAGTCTCATAGCAAAGGGTCTGAATACTTATGTAAATAAGGTATTTCTGTTTTTTATTTTTAATACATGTTCAAAAATGTCTTAAAACCTGTTTTCGTTTTGTCATTATGGGGTATTCTGTGTATTTTGATGAGGGGGAAAAATAATGTAATCCATTTTAGAATAAGGCTGTAACATAACAAAATGTGGAAAAAGGGAAGGGGTCTGAATACTTTCCGAATGCACTGTAGGTCAAACTTACAAAGTAATTATAGTTTATGTCTTCTGGTTCCTCCTTGGGGAACAGTTCCATCCATAAACTCAGCAGGGTGAAGAGGTTAACCTTGGCCAGCCTAGGTCCATTACCTAAAAACACACCATAGAAAGACAGGATTACAAACAGGGAAGGCAAGTGAGTGTTTTCTCCACTAGATCTTTGCTGCTCCCAAGTGATAACAGTTTGAGCTCAATAAAGATATTCTTTAGGAGAAGCAAACATTGGGCAGACATTCACTTCCTCTTCCCACTGCAACCCTGGAGCACTGACATAGAATGTGAAATTGTTGGCCAGTACATTTCTCTTCAAAACATGTATGTTGTTCTGGCATTCATAGGGGAGAACAACCAAACTGGGGCTTGATCCAGCAACCCTGCTATTACAGAGCAAGCCCAGCTGACCTGTCCAGTGCCATAAAGGTCAAGACCTCTTTGCAGAACCAGTCACGTTATCCTTGGGACGTCCCTACCCTAAACCCCTACCGTTTTACATTTCAACTTCAATGGGGTGACGTCAGACAGAGTTGGACGCACCTACCCTAAACTTCAATGGGGTGACGTCAGACAAAGTTGGGACGCCCCAAGGATCCCATTTAGACATTTCCAGCCAGTCACTAGGGAGGCTACAGACGTGTGGGTTCAAACTAATAAAAGCGTAGACGGTGACAAAATGACGTCTTTATTTTCAATATGCCTCAACGTTCAGAGTTCAGTGAGTAGAAATATTGTATCGAACAGTAAAAACATTCGCAGCATTCTCTGTCAAGCTGTCAACACGCCACTGGATGACAGCGCAGGAGTCTCACCTTGTACTTTGGTGTCGGTTTGTGTGCTGGCTTCCATTACATCGCGATTTCCTTTGCAGTTGCATGATGCAGCACAGGTTGGTTTCAAATCCTGATTTAAGTGTGCGGTATCCATTGTTGCCATTCAATCAATTGAATGAAAAATGTAGCTAAGGTCTCCAAACAAGGCAAATACGTATGATCATTTTATATAAGGTTCTTCCTATATCTTCTGACGTGGAACAAATAGGCGGAGCTTGTCATGCACCCAACCCCCAGAACTGTCAAAGGCGGTGTGTTCGTTTTAACCGTTCTGCATTCTTGGTTGCAATTGAAAAATAAGATTTATCAGATTACATCTGTATTCCGTTATTAGTTTGTCATTTCATTCATGACGTGATAAACTAAAGAATAATGGTATTCATTAGGCTAGTGTCTCTAGGATTAGAGTGTGTGTGATGGCCTCTAGATGGAAGCATAACGACATGTTTGTAATTATCTCTGTCATTGCTCATATGAATGTTTGAAACAATACAAGGATATATGAAGTCATTTCTAACGCATCATCCAACATTGTATACAAGAATGTAGTTTCGTTTATTTCAAAGTGGTTGCTTCTCATGACTTGCAAGTCGATAAACATGTTGAGAATTGTGGCACCAATAGCAACTGTTTCCATCCTAAACAATTGTCAATATTTCTAAATAAATGTAATTGCAAAATAAACATAAGCAACTTTTAAAAAAATAGAAGAATACAATGCATTGAATTCAAATGTCAGTACAAACACGGGGGGGGGGTAAATCTCAACCAAAGGAATGCTATAAGTAATATTACAAAATTGAGATAATACCTCATTTTTTTGTAACAATAATAAAGTTGACAGTAACAAGTTTTATATGGTCCAAATGTTTTGTTTTCTGTCTGGTAAAAGAACTGATGAGTTGAAAACCAAGTTCCTGCTCAGTGTTGCATTACATCACCATGTTCATCTCAAGTCTAGAATTAAAGTGCCTGAATTAATAAATGACTGTCAGTCCACAGCATATTACTATTCATATTAAAACTGTCATTTCCTCAAAACATCCACAGGCTCTGAACCACCAACCCTGTAAAATATATTTCTGGCCTGCCACTTCCAACCCTTCAACAGTAGAGCAAAGTACACAACTTTAATGCAACAAAAAAAGTATGCAAATCAGGGGGGGGGGGGGGGGGGGGTTGACTGCCATCGCCTGCATCGGTGCATTAGCTGTCACCAGACATTGTCAGGAATGTAACAGTGTCCATCTTAAGCTAGATCAATGGTCCTCCAATTAAACTGGTGCTAACTGAGCAGTCTGATGCCATTTAGCAGGTTTGTAAACATGCAGTGACAGACAATGACCTCTGATGTCACTGTTTTGACTGGCAGAGGAACTTCCTCTCCTCCCCACAGCGCCACCTGTCTATGTGGAATATTAGGCGCATAGGCAGGGACTGGATTTGGCTTCTTTGGCTGTGTAACTGGAGGTGGGCCATAGTCACCAGATGACCACGCCAGACGTCTTCTCAAAGGATGAATAATATGGCAATTTAGAGACCCGGTTCAAGCTAGCCGTTTCCATGTTCATACCACTTCTTTCTTTGTCCTTTCTACCATGGCCAAATGGTGTCAAGCCAAACCAGTTCACGCTAGCCCTTTCCTCGTCCTTCCTTCGGGGCTGGTCAGTGGTCAGTCAGTTCTTGAAGGCCCCACAGCGGCTGGCTCTGCAGATGAACTCTTTGAGCATGTTGCCATCGATTTGCCAGAAGGCTGCAGTCTGGGTCACCTCGGTCAGGTGGTTCACACAGAACTTGAAGCAGAACTCCTCCAGGTCCTACAGGGAAGCGATCACATCCAGTTACAGTATGAACACAGGTCCAGTATACAGCAGGGGTCAGAAAAGACTGTAAAGTCACCAGGAATTCAGCAAAAAAATAGTTTAGCATAAGGTAATCAAGATATTAAATGATAATGTTTTTTAAAATAAAATCAATTTTTGGGCTTAGATGTGGTCAATTTGCAGAGTACAACTTATTATAATTATGTTCCGGCCCCCCAACCATCCACAACGCATTATAAATCGGCCTGCGGCTGAATCTAGTTGCCTACCCCTGGTATACAGTATCTAAATAGGTATAAGATGGTATTTGAGGTCATCTGACTAATATGCCCATAATGACAGGGCTAATGTGTCTTATATGAGGCAGCCTGAAGAAGCTTGTGGTAACCAGTAAGCATCTGAGTTATTAACCCTTAGTAGTGACGCTCTGTCACAGTGTCTGTTTCACCTCAGCGTCGTATCGCACGGCGGCAGAGAGCAGAGAGAAGGCGTTCTCCACGGTGATGCCTCTCTTGATGATGTGTTGACACAGGCGCTTCAGACGGTTCTCACAGTAGGATGTGGCCAGGTCCAACAGGCCTGAAACAGACAGAGTTAGTACACACACAGCAGCATTCCTATGGATGGACCTTAACTCAATAAAGTCATTTGTTTTGAGTCTGGGGCCCTGTATGAATCCTAAACAGGATTCCTGCTTCAGTCCAACTCACCGATGGCGTCCTCTGGGGGCAGGTCTACGTTGTCAGTGTAGAGGAACTCCAGGAAGGAGCGGTAGACTGGGTAGGAGAACTGGTCGATCTCGATCACCTCCTTCATGTCCTCAGTCCAGTGGGACTGGAACATGGAGCGGAAGTGTTCACACCTGACAGAAAAAATTATGGACATTGTTAGGTTATGTCGTGTTATGTCAAGTTATGTCTATAGCCAGTAAAACCTATTGGAAAGGCTAAAACTAGAAAAGGTATATTTTCTGAAGAAAATGTGTGTGATTGCTTCAGCAGTATAAACATATATGTTTTACTCAAATCCACACACCGGATCTTGAGCACGGCCTTGTGTACGTGGATGTATTTCCCATCCACGCTGAACTTGAGATCGGACGTCTCCGGGCTGTCAAACTCTTTCCTCAGAGACTGGGCCACAGTCAGGAAGTCATCATGCTCTATGACAGAACACAATGCCTTAGCTGGGAATCATGGTGTGTGTCTGTGAAAGGGTTATCCTAGATCATTGGTTAAGGGGACCTTCTACTTAGAGGTCAGAAGAAAAAAAAAAAAACATTTCATTACAACCAAGTTACATACTGCACCTTTAAATAACATGTAATAATTGATGAAATGAACTCACCCATGGAGAGTAGCCTCCACATGACAGAGGGCGTAGCGAAACAGCCGAAGACGTCGTCAGTGCTTGAGAAGTGTGTGAGGTGTGGCAGCACGATTGACTGACCCCTACACTGGCCCCACATGTACACCTGGCCGCTCTGGGTCTTACAGGCAGACGTGTGTGTGGAGTGGCACGCCGCGATCTCCACTATCCTGCTGGGGGAGGGGGAGGAGTGTGTTACAGACTAACATACATACACAGTCCACCAGGTAACGGTACTCTCCTGTGTCTTTTGACCACTATAAGAAGTTCTGTAATTCTTAAGTGCATTGTGTTTCTTCACACATCTCCCTACTCTGTCTCTCTGTGCCACGCCTCTTCAGTGTTTTCCCTTGTCCTTTTGCTGCCTACGGCGGGCCTCTCTCCCTCTCCCCTTTAAGACGAAGACAGGAAACACACAAAAAGAGAAGGGAGAATGACAGGACACTGCTGACATCGCTGGTGTTCCATGAGTTTAACTAGATGGGATATACACTATATATATACAGAAAAGTATGTGGACAACCCTTCAAATTAGTGGATTCGGCTATTTCAGCCACACCCGTTGCTGACAGGTGTATAAGATCGAGCACACAGCCATGCAATCTCCCCAGACAAACATTGGCAGTAGAATGGCCTTACTGAAGAGCTCAGTGACTTTCAACATGGCACCATCATAGGATGCCACCTTTCCAACAAGTCAGTTTGTCAAATTTCTGCCCTGCTAGAGCTGCCCCAATCAACTGTAAGTGCTGTTATTGTGAAGTGGAAACGTCTCGGAGCAACAATGGCTCAGCCGCGAAGTGGTAGGCCACACAAGCTCACAGAACAGGACCGCCGAGTGCTGAAGCGCGTAGCGCATAAAAATAATCTGTCCTCGCTTGCAACACACTACCGAGTTCCAAACTGCCTCTGGAAGCAACGTCAGCATAATAACTGTTCTTTGGGAGCTTCATGAAATGGGTTTCCATGGCCGAGCAGCCGCACACAAACCTAAGATCACCATGCACAATGCCTAGCGTCAGCTGGAGTGGTGTAAGCTCAGCGCCATTGGACTCTGGAGCAGTGGAAATGCGTTCTCTGGAGTGATGAATCACGCTTTCCATCTGGCAGTCAGATGGACGAATCTGGGTTTGACAGATGCCAGGAGAACGCTACCTGCCCCAATGCATAGTGCCAACTGTAAAGTTTTGGTGGAGGAGGAATAATGGTCTGGGGTTGTTTTTCATGGTTCGGGCTAGGCCCCTTAGTTCCAGTGAAGGGAAATCTTAACTCTACAGCATACAATTACATTCTAGACGATTCTGTGCTTCCAACTTTGTGGCAACAGTTTGGGGAAGGCCCTTTCCTGTTTCAGCATGACAATGCCCCCGTGCACTAAGTGAGTTCCATACATAAATGGTTTGTCGAGATCGGTGTGGAAGAACTTGACCGGCCTGCACAGAGCCCTGATGTCAACCCCATTGAACACCTTTGGGATGAATTGGAACGCCTACTGCGAGCCAGGCCTAATTGCCCAACATCTGTGCCCGACCTCACTAATGCTCTTGTGGCTGAATGGAAACAAGTCCCTGCAGCAATATTCCTTTCTTCTAGTGGAAAGCCTTCCCAGAAGAGTGGCGGCTGTTATAGCAGCAAAGGGAGGACCAACTCCATATTAACGCCCATGATTTTGGAATGAGATGTTCGATGAGCAGGTGTCCACATACTTTCGGTCATGTTGTGTAGCTTATGTCAGAATTGACTTTTCGTAGCAAGTTAGGATAACTTATCCATCAGGTTAGGATAATTAACGTAGCAGGTTAGGATAATTAGGTTAAGGGTTAGCTAAAATGCAAAAAAACATTTGACGTCAATTTGACATAAACTGTATCCCGTCTAGCCATGGACCGCATTCCATGGACACAGAAGGTTGCTGGTTTTGTTGTGACATCTGTCTTGTAGCTTTATCTCAAGGCCAACCTGAGGCTCATTCAAGAGTGTTATGACATGTTACACAACGTTCAGAGATAAAAATGAACATGGCAAAGATCTATTCAGAATTAAATCCCAATAACTCATTTCCATGTTTTCAGTGAAAAGTTCATGCTTGTCAAGTGTCAAACCCATTTGTACCCCAGCCCCCAACATAATGGCCCTCTCTCTCTCTCCCCTCCATACTCCATTCTAGTTTTGTTTCATTGTGACAGGGACAATGTCAACTCAGAGACAGATTATTCCAGATCTGGTGTGTGAGCCAATATATGGACCTATGCAGTGTTACCGTATGGACCCACACTGGATGGAATACAACAGAGAAGACAAAGAGAAGAGAGAACTAACCATGGGTCTCTGAAAGATGACAGTACCAACGTGTGATTTCTGGGGGGCGGTAGCAGCCACCAGAGCTACATCTCAATCCTGTGTATGTGTACTCTCCCTTACCTCTCCTTCTCAGCCATGATGTGTACAGGACTGAGCTGGTTGCTCTTGTTGCCAGTCCCCAGCTGTCCGTAGGTGTTAGCCCCCCAGGCATACAGCAGGCCCTCGTCTGTTAGAGCCAGGGAGTGGGCGTAGCCTGACGCTATCTGGAAGACAAGGCCATAAGGGTTTTACACAGTGGGAGTGGACAGCAACAAGGGTCAGGGCTCAATTCTGTTTTGTATTAGTTTGAGTTGAAGTAGACATGAGTAGACGATTCAGACAGAGACATACAGGTGGTGATAGTGTCCACTACTGTCCAGTCTTACCTGTAGTACACAGAGACCCTGGAGGGCTGCCAGGCGACAGGGGGTCAGCTGGTTACCGTTGTTGCCCACTCCCAGCTGGCCATTCCCGTTGTAGCCCCAGCCAAACACCTGCAACACACACAGGCCACGGTAGTCAGCAAGATCTTCCTTTATGTATATGGTGCTATATAACATTTTGCTTTGACTTTTACTGGACCGGAGGGAACTATCCTATATAAACCTATCCTTCCCATAGGCTTTGTCTCTCACCTCCCCATTGTCGAGCACGGCCATGGAGGAGGTCTGTCCACAGGCGATGCCCATCACCACTTTACCCTGCAGGCAGTTGGACACCCTGCGGGGGGTTGGCTGGTTGGCTGTGGCGCCTGAACCCACCTGGCCACAGTTGTTGTAACCCCACGCAAACACCTAGCGGATACAATCATATATACACCATTGTCAACCCTGTACACACACAGTCCCACTGTCAAGCCTGTATATACACACACACACACACACTGTCAACCCTGTACACACACACACCGACTGTCAACCTTGTACACACACACACACACAAACCCCCCCACCACAGACTGTCAACCCTGTACACCCAATCACACCTAGTGACCAGTGATCCTAGGTAACCATCATATTAGGTAATGTTGTAGCTATCCCTTTACAGTGCTGAGTAATGTATATTTCAACACATCCAAGATAGCCCTAAATAGATACTATTGGAAATCAGCAGTCATTTCCACATCAACTCTTCAATCGTGTGTGAGACCAGGCCAGTGGGCCTGGGGTATATGCAGCCAGCCTGGACACAGTGAACAGAGATAATACCTTCCTAACCTGCTGCTGGGATAAACATAAACCAATTAAAGAGACAGACAGCCAAGACACAAGTGACCACTGATCAGCCCTGGTTAGAAAACTTGAACCTTACAGGGTTCCATAGTCCACTCCACACACTGACAGGTTACACATGACCTCAACCAATACTCCAATCATGTTCATGAACAGAGTTTTTATTCTCTTGAACATGATGTACCTAGCAGGAGCATTAAGTCACTGATATCTTGAAACAGGCTTATTTGGGTTCAGGGTTACAAGTGCATGTAAAAGGATTTAAACAAGTACATTTCCCCTTCTATCCCCTCACCTCTCCATCGTGTGTCAGGGCCAGAGAGTGATGGGACCCACAGGCCACTTGTGTTATTTTCTTGTTCTGCAGGTTGGTTGATACCAGGATGGGCGACACCCCCTGGTTGGTGGTCCCGTTGCCCAGCTGGCTGTATCCATTGTGCCCCCAGGCAAACAACTCTCCCCCTGAGAGACAAACGCACCAAATTAACACAGAGCTATTTAAGTATGCTGCACTATGACAATTATACATGCTTTTGGTAGAGTTTGGTACAGTTCTCGTAACGTGCCAACGTTGCCATTTGGTGGTGGGTAAAAAAGATAAGGCAGGTGGGCAGCATACCTTCTGTGGCCAGTAAGACGTGTGGTCCACTGCCATAGCTGAGACTGACCACCTTCTTGCCTTGGAGGAAGTCTAGTTTCTTAGGGACCATGGTGCTCTGACTGTCTCCTGTCCCCAGACAGTTACTGCAGTTCAGCCCAAACACAAACACCTACAGGGGGATCAGAGACAAAGATGAAGGGGAGGAGACAGGAAGAGGATGCCATTACATTTAATTATTTAATCAAGATAGTCCACTCAGTAACCATTTCCACTGCTTTCCAGAGAGTCCTGCACTCCATAAAAACAAAGTAATTCTATACAAATCGAGACACCCCCAGTCTCACCTCATCGTTGTGGGTGATGTAGATGGCTTCGTTGGCCGAGCTGCCGAAGACGCAGGCCTGCCTGATGCTGGAGACCTCCTGGGCCCCCAGCAGGGTGAAGAGGGGCCACTTCCCCACGTCCACCATGGCTAGGTACCTCACTCTGGCTCTCCGCGGTGGGGGGGTCGGGGTGAGGACGGGGGCGGGAGGCACAGGAGGGGCAGGGGAGGGAGAAGCAGGGGCTGTGAGGCCACCACTGTCCCCGCTAACACTGTTACAAGACAACCATCAAAGACACACACGTACAAAACACTCCATCTTAGTCTAAACCTCAGTGGTGAGGCACCCTGGTTTCAATGGTGTTCATAAATGAAAATGAAAAATAAATTAAATAATGCATGCACTCTGGATAAGAGCGTCTGCTAAATGACAAAAAAATAAAAAATTAAAATAAAAGTTAATAAAACCAAATAAATTGCTCAAAAGGTAAGTTAGACATGACTACAGGACTTTATAATGCCATCTCTGGATGCTTATGATGATATCGACATGGTTTTAAATAGTTTTGGGCCATACAGACAACATGCAGATGGAGGTGTAATGGCTACTTTTTTGGCAAACGTTCCCATCCAGATCTTTTAACTGTCTAATACAGTTGGTTAAATAGTTTGATGACTAGCTAGATAGCTAACTAAATTAGCATTGCAGAGTCAACGCATCTCTGGCCAGATACTCTGTTGCCCATTGGGATTACAATCTTGAATCTCAGCCACAACAGATGCGACATACATTAGCCTCCTAGCTGGCTAACAGTAGTTAGCTTACCTTCTGCCAGGTAGCAAACTAGCTTGCGACATGGTAACGCTCACCTAGCAGTCACTGGTCAAGCTAGCGATGTACTACGTTGAAGGCTGCACCCGTGGCAGTCTCCCTTTGCTGTTTACCGTTCGCTGGCTATATACAAAGCAAGCTAACCTAGCACCTAGCTAGATTCAGCGCTGACTAATATAGCTAGCAAGCTGTAACGTTACTGTACCTAAAGCATCGCTCCATCATATCATCAAGAAAACTGAGGAGAGAAACAAGAAAGAGACATTTAACCGCTAGAATATTAATAAACCTACCTCAAGTAAATATGATTTGGAAGCACGATTACCAGAATAAAGCTGTCACTTGGTTGTCGTCGCTGATGTGAGGATGCCAAATGTACCAGGCAGCAGTTTTGAGTTTAGCGATAGTGTTTTCCGCTCGTGCCCCAGTCCAGATCTTTGGTCCAGATGGAACCACGCTGACGTCATGGGCTGAACGAAGGCGCCTAGCCTGGGTGCCAGTCTTGTTTTTCTCTTGCCAACTCCTTATGCAAGGAATGGGAATTAAGAATATAACCGTTTTCAGCACTCTTGTTTTTTGTTGTTTTTGTTTTTAAATAGCCATAGGCCCAATTCAAATAATACAAACCATACACCATTATTTCCCCCCTTGCGCTAATAACACCCCACTGCTTTCCCCAATCAAATCCCAGATCTGCGCAATGAGGGAGGATGCATTTTGAGTATAGAGCAGGGTGCAACGTACGGCCGCGGCGATCAGGCCGAAAGGGTTATCGCAGCGCAGATGATTTTGAAAAAAAAAAAAAAAAAAATTTTTTTTTTTTTTGTTTAATTAAAAATGCGCGCTTTTTCAATAAATTAAATGCTGTCCAATTGCGTCACTGGATGAATGAAATAGCATTGTTAAGAAGAAACTGTTTATACCGGGCAGAGCAAGTAGTCACGTCAGCAATGAGCTACTTGTTTTGCACGATATTTTATGGCTTTACTTTAACTTTCTTTGACCCTATTGCCCCATATGTCTCTAAAAAAAGAAAAAAGGGACGCAGACAAGAAAAATGGTCATCCTATATCACGGAATGAATGGGAAGCGATGTTTGGTGTGTTCAGAGCATGTTGCAGTGCTGAAATAATATAACCTTCGTCGCCACTATGTGAGTCTTCATGCCGACAAATATGACAACTTTCAAGGACAGCGGAGATGAGAGAAGGTGAATGAACTGTTGGCGGGTCTGAAGAAACAGCAGTCTGTGTTTACTCACAGCCGAGACATCAGTGGCGCTGCAGGGAAAGCTCGCTACCTCATTGCTAATGAAATCGCAGTGGCTTCAAAACCATTTAGTGAGGGTGAATTTGTAAAAACATGCATGATGAAGGCAGCGGAGATTGTGTGCCCTGAAAAGCGGCAGGCTTTTGCAAATATCAGCCTGACAAGAAACACAGTTGCAGACAGGATTTCCGATCTTTCAGTGGATTTGGACAGCCAGTTGAAGCAAAAAGTAAAGTCATTTATTGCGTTTTCGGTTGCAATTGATGAAAGCACGGACATTACAGATGTTGCACAACTGGCCATTTTTTCATCCGCGGAGTTGATGACACATTGACCGTCACCGAGGAGTTCGTGGAGTTGGTGCCGATGACAGATACAACGACAGCAGCTGATATTTTTACCGCACTCGTCGGCGCACTGGACAGGGTCGGAGTGGACTGGTCCCGCGCTGTCAGCCTGGCTACAGATGGTGCGCCCTCAATGATCGGGAAAAAAGCAGGCGTTGTGACAAAGTTCAGAGAGAAAGTGCAATCTGCAAATGGAGGACGTGATTTTTTGACTTTTCACTGTATTTTGCACCAGGAGGCTTTGTGTTGCAAGTCATTAAAGATGGATAACGTCATGAAGGTGGTCATCCAAACTGTTAATTTCATCCGATCCAGAAGCCTGAATCACCGTCAGTTTGACAGCCTTCTCAGAGAGAAAGACCACATCTATGGCCTGCCATACCACACTGAGGTAAGATGGTTAAGCCGAGGTGCTGTGCTGAGGCGTTTCTGTGATTTACGAAAAGAAATTGAACAGTTCATGGAAGAAAAGGGCAAACCAGTGTTAGAATTTCATTCCGCAGAATGGATGCCGGACCTTGCATTTATGGTGGATGTTACAGAGCACCTGAATAACTTGAACAAACAGCTGCAAGGGCGCAACAAAGTTGTCACGCAGTATTATGACAGCATACGTTCTTTCAAGTTGAAGCTGTCATTGTGGGAGACGCAACTTGCCGGTGGTGATGCAGCTCACTTCCCCTGTCTGAAAAATGTGTGCGCGACCCAACATGTGGCAGACATGAAGCGGTTCAAAGATAAAATAACTGGACTGTTACGGGAGTTTGAGCAACGCTTTCAGATTTATGTTTATATGTTTTTATGTTGATGTGCTATTGTTTTTAATTGATTTTATTTTATTTGTATATTTAACCTATTCTTGACTCTGTGGTTCTTGCACTTGTTTGGGTAACAGGATTTCATTATTTTTATCTACATTTCTGCCTGAGAAATGACACCCTGATATAGTTCTGTGATCTGTGATATACTTCTGTGAATCACTGAGGCATTGTGTGTTTGTGTGTTCTTTGTCCTCAGAACTTTCAAATAACTTGAGGTGTTTTATGATTAATAGTGATGTTGTGCTTTTGGACACTGTCCTCAGGCTCCAGCTTTATGTTTATATGTTTTTATGTTGATGTGCTATTGTTTTTAATTGATTTTATTTTATTTGTATATTTAACCTATTCTTGACTCTGTGGTTCTTGCACTTGTTTGGGGAACAGGATTTCATTATTTTTATCTACATTTCTGCCTGAGAAATGACACCCTGATATAGTTCTGTGATCTGTGAAACAGTTCTGTTAATCACTGAGGCATTGTGTGTTTGTGTGTTCTTTTTCTTTAGAATTTTCAAATAAACTTGACATGTTTTATGATTAATAGTGATGTTGTGCTTGTACTATTTTGGACACACTGTCCTCAGGTTCCAGCTTTATGTTGTATGTTGATCGTATTAAAACAAAGAAAACAATCTGAAGTTGTTGTTTTTAAATTGTAAAAACACCAACTGCTTACCCAAGAAAGAATCTGATGGGGCGGTAGCCTGGTAGGGGAACGGAAAGTAAGCCTTTAAAAGAGAAGGAAAACCGGTTATCATGTGACCACTATGTTTCTGTTCTGAAACTCAAACTCAGTTCTACTCACTTTGAGCGAGTCTCTAGTCACCGGAGGGCAGCAAGTGAGCACACTTGGCGCTTTCACGTCTACTCCCAGACAAAAATACAAACACATGATCTAAATCGAGAAAAGCCACTGGCTGCACATATCACCTGTTGTTGATGCAAATCAGAGACTACACAGGAAGACGCAACAAACCAACATTGTTCAGGAGCAGAAGTGGGACTGCCGTACTTCCTCTTTACCTCAGAGCCAGCTTTGCCTAGACAGGTGTGTCCGTCATGGGGCTGGCTCTATCCAAGAGGGACATCAAGAGGACTCCCACGGTGGTTCTGATGGGCCTGGACTCATCTGGGAAGTCCACCTTGCTCTTCATGCTCCAGACAGGGGTGGTGATGGATACTTCCCCCACCGTAGGCTTCAACGTGGCGACCCTGGATCTGAACAAGAAGACGGCCCTGACCGTGTGGGATGTGGGCGGACAGGCGAAGATGATGGCCAACTGGAAGTGAGTTAACGGACAGTGGTGTTATTGGTGCTGTGCTCTTCTATTTCTGTTTTAGCCCAGTACTACGAACACATCTGATTCCACTAATCATAAGCCCTTTATTATACTGAACAAAAATATAAAACGTAACGATTTCAACGATTTTACTGATTTACAGTAAATCAATTAGGCCCTAATCTATGGATTTCACATGACTGGGCAGGGGCGCAGCCATGGGTGGGCCTGGGAAATCAGGCCCAGCCAATCATAATTATTTTTTCACCACAAAAGGGCTTTATCATTATCAGCTGTCCGGGTGGTCTCAGATGATCCTGCAGGTGAAGAAGCCGGATGTGGAGGTCCTGGGCTTGCGTGCTAACACATGGTTTGCAGTTGTGAGGCAGGTTGGACATACTGACAAATTCTCTAAAACGACATTGGAGGTGGCTTATGATAGAGAAATGAACATTTAATTATCTGGCAAAAGCTCTGGTGGACATTCCTACAGTCAGCATGCCAATTTCACACTCCCTCAAAACCTGAGACATTTGTGGCATTGTGTGACAAAACTGCACATTTTAAAGTGGCCTTTTTTTGTCCCCAGCACAAGGTGCACCTGTGTAATGATCATGCTGTTTAATCAGCTTCTTGATATGCCACACCTGTCAGCTGGACGGATTATCTTGGCAAAAGATAAATGCTCACTAACAGGGATGTAAATAAATTTATGCACAAAATTTGAGAGAAATAAGCTTTTTGTGCATATGGAACATTTCTGGGATCTTTTATTTCAGCTCATGAAACATGGGACCAACACTTTACATATTGTGTTTATATATACAGTGGCTTTGGAAAGTATTCAGACCCCTTGACTTTTTCCACATTTTGTTACGTTACAGCCTTATTCTAAACTTGATTAAATAAATAAAAGTCCTCAGCAATCTACATACAATACCCCATAATGACAAAGCGAAAACAGATGTAGACATTTTTGCAAATGTATAAAAAATAAACAGAAATACCTTATTTACATACAGTGGGTATAGAAAGTCACCACCCCATTTCAAAATGTTCACCTTTTGTTGCCTTACAGCCTGAAATGAAAACACATAAGTGAACACCCCCAAATTGCTACACAAATCTGGCCTCTATGGGACGGTGGCAAGAAAGAAACACTCCTCAAAAAAATGCTACATCAAGTCTCATTTGAGCTTTGCCAAAAAGCACATTGTAGATTCCGAGGCCAAGTGGCAAAAGGTGCTGTGGTCAGATGAGACTGAAATTGAACTTTTTGGCCTGAACACAAAACGAAATGTCTGGCGAAAACCCAATACATCTTTCCACCCAAAGAACACCACACCTACAGGAAAGCATGGCAGTGGTAGCATCCTGTTGTGGCATTGTTCCTCTGAAGCAGGGACTGGATCACTTGTCAGGATAGAAGGGAAAATGGACAGTGCAAAATACCGACAGATTCTTGAGGAGAACCTGCAGCCCTCTGCCAGGAAGTTGAAAATGGGAAGATGGTTCACGTTTCAATATGACAATATAGCACATCGCCAAAGCAACCATACAGTGGGTGAAGGACAAGAAGGTGAATGTCCTTGAGTGGCCTAGTCAGAGCCCTGACCTAAATCCCATCGAGAACCTATGGAATGACTTGAAGAGTGCAGTCCATGAGCGGTCACCATGCAATTTGACTGAGCTTGAACAATTCTGCAAGGAAGAAGGGGCAAATATTGCACAATCTAGGTGTGCAAAGTTAGTATTTATTTTTAATTTTATTTTATTAGTAGAGATGTATTCAAAAGAGACTCATGGCTGTAATTCAAGCAAAAGGTGGTTCCACCAAGTATTAACTCAGGGGGGTGTTCACTTATCCAAATAGGGTCTTTTACTGTTTTAATCACTTGAATATTGTAGGTTACTGTGTGTAAGTAAAGCCAGAAAAATTCAGATTTGATGTGTTTTCATTTCAGGCTGTAAGTCAACAAAATGTGAACATTCTGAAAGGGGGTGGTGACTTTCTATACCCACTGTAAGTATTCAGACCCTTTGCTATGAGACTCGAAATTGAGCTCAGGTGCATCCTGTTTCCATTGATCATCCTTGAGATGTTTCTACAACTTCATTGGAGTCCACCTGTGGTAAATTCAATTGATTGGACATGATTTGGAAAGGCACACACCTGTCTATATAAAAGGTCCCACAGTTGACAGTGCATGTCAGAGCAAAAACCAAGCCATGAGGTCGAAGGAATTGTCCGTAGAGCTCCGAGACAGGCACAGATCTGGGGAAGGGTACCAACAAATGTCTGCAGAATTGAAGGTCCCCAAGAACACAGTGGCCTCCATCATTCTTAAATGGAAGAAGTTTGGAACCACCAAGACTAGAGCTGGCCTCCAGGCCAAACTGAGCAAGCGGGGGAGAAGGGCCTTGGTCAGGGAGGTGACCAAGAACTCGACAGAGTTCCTCTGTGGAGATGGGAGAACCTTCCAGAAGGACAACCATCTCTGCAGCACTCCACCAATCAGGCCTTTATGGTAGAGGGACCAGACGGAAGCCACTCCTCAGTAAAAGGCACATGACAGCCCACTTGGAGTTTGCCAAAAGGCACCTAAAGACTAAGACCATGAGAAACAAGATTCTCTGGTCTGATGAAACCAAGATGGAACTCTTTGGCCTGAATGCCAAGCGTCACGTCTGGAGGAAACCTGGCACCATCCCTACGGTGAAGCATGGTGGCGGCAGCATCATGCTGTGGGGATGTTTTTCAGCGGCAGGGACTGGGAGACTAGTCAGGATCCAAGCAAAGATGAACGGAGCAAAGTACAGAGAGATCCTTGATGAAAACCTGCTCCAGAGCGCTCAGGACCTCAGACTGGGGTGAAGGTTCACCTTCCAACAGGACAGCGACCCTAAGCACACAGCCAAGACAACGCAGGAGTGGCTTCGGGACAAGTTTCTGAATGTCCTTGAGTGGCCCAGCCAGAGCCTGGACTTGAACCCGATCGAAGATCTTTGGAGAGACCTGAAAATAGCTGTGCAGCAACGCTCCCCATCCAACCTGACAGAGCTTGAGAGGATCTGCAGAGAAGAATAGGAGAAACTCCCCAAATACAGCTGTTCCAAACTTGTAGCTTCATACCCAAGAAGACTCAAGGCTGTAATCACTGCCAAAGGTGCTCCAACCAAGTACTGAGTAAAGGGTCTGAATACTTATGTAAATTTGATATTTCCGGTTTTTATTTTTAATAAATTAGCAAATAATTGTTAACCTGTTTTTGCTTTGACATTATGGGGTATTTTGTGTAGATTGATGAGGGGAAAAAACAATTTAATCAATTTTAGAATAAGGCTGTAACCTAACAATGTGGGAAAAGTCAAGGGGTCTGAATACTTTCCGAAGGCACTGCATATACAGTACCAATCAAAAGTTTGGACACCTACTCATTCCAGGGTTTTTCTTTATTGTTACTATTTTCTACATTGTAGAATAATAGTGAATACATCAAAACTATGAAATAACACATATGGAATCATGTAGTAACCAAAAAAGTGTTAAACAAGTCTAAATATATTTTATATTTGAGATCTTCAAAGTAGCCACCCTTTGCCTTGATGACAGCTTTGCACACTCTTGGCATTCTCTCAACCAGCTTCATGAGGTAGTCACCTGGAATGCATTTCAATTAACAGGTGTGCCTTGTTAAAAGTTAATTTGTGGAATTTATTTCCTTCTTAATGAGTTTGAGCCAATCAATTGTGTTGTGACAAGGTAGGGGTGGTATACAGAAGAGAAATGACAGTCCATCATTACTTTAAGACATGGTCAGTCAATCTGGAACATTTCAAGAACTTTGAACGTTTCTTCAAGTGCAGTCGCAAAAACCATCAGAGCTATGATGAAACTGGCTCTCATGAGGACCGCCACAGGAAAGGAAGACCCAGAGTTACCTCTGCTGCAGAGGATAAGTTCATTAGAGTTAACTGCCTTAGAAATTACAGCCCAAATAAATGCTTCAGAGTTCAACAGACAGACATCTCAACATCAACTGTAAAGAGGAGACGTGAATCAGGCCTACATGGTCAAATTGCTGCAAAGAAACCACTAAAGTACACCAATAAGAAGAAGAGACTGGCTTGGGCCAAGAACCATGAGCAATGGACATTAGATCGGTGGAAATCTGTCCTTTGATCTGATGAGTCCAAATTTGAGATTTTTGGATCCAACCACCGTGTCTTTGTGAGACGCAGAGTAGGTGAACGGATGATCTCCGCATGTGTGGTTCCCACCGTGAAGCATGGAGGAGGTGGTGTGATGGTGTGGGGGTGCTGCAGCGATACGCCATCCCATCTGGTTTGGGCATAGTGGAACTATAATTTGTTTTTCAACAGGACAATGACAACACACCTTCAGGCTGTGTAAGGGCTATTTTACCAAGAAGGAGAGTGATGGAATGCTGCATCAGATGACCTGGCCTCCACAACCCCCCGACCTCAACCAATTTGAGATGGTTTGGGATGAGTCGGATGGCAGAGTGAAGGAAAAGCAGCCAACAAGTGCTCAGCATATGTGGGAACTCCTTCAAGACTGTTGGAAAAGCATTCCAGGTGAAGCTGGTTGAGAGAATGCCAAGAGTGTGCAAACCTGTCAAAGGCAAAGGGTGGCTATTTGAAGAATCTCAAATATAAACTATTTTTTTATTTGTTTAACACTTTTTTGGTTACTACATGATTCCATATTTGTTATTTCATAGTTTTGATGTCTTCACTATTATTCTACAATGTAGAAAATAGTAAAAAATAAAGAAAAACATTGGAATGAGTAGGTGTCCAAACCTTTGACTCAAGGCATATAAATAATGAATTGTTGTATTTTATCCACTTTTTCTCCCAATTTCAATTACAATCTTGTCTCATTGCTGCAACTCCCCAACGGGCTTGGCAGAGGCGAAGGTCGAGTAATGCGTCCTCCGAAACATGACCCGCCAAATTGCACTCCTTAACATCCACCCTCTTAACCCGGAAGCCAGCTGCACCAATGTGTCGGAGGAAACACAGTTCAACTGACAACCGAAGTCAGCCTGCAGGTGCCCGGCCCACCACGAGGAGTCGCTAGAGTGCGATGAGCCAAGTAAAGCCCCAGCCAAACCCTCCCCTAACCCGGACGACGCTGGGCCAATTGTGCGCCGCCCTATGGGACTCCTGGTCGTGACACAGCCTGGGATCGAACCCGGGTCTGTAGTGACGCCTTAGACCGCTGCGCCACTCGGGAGGCCCTGCGTTTATATTTTGTTCAGTGTAGTTGAATCAGGTGTGATAGTTCAAGTCTAGAACAAATAAATGCACATTCTGGCTCCGGTCTCTGGACCAGGTTGGTAGAATACTGGAATACAATAACCTTTTATCCTAAACTAAAATGACTTGCTAAAATTGCCATATCATTAGCTAGACACTACCCTATTTCTATAATTGTCAGGTACTACCTGGAGGGCTGTAAGGCCATGGTGTTCGTGGTGGACAGTAGTGACCGGGCCCGTATAGGGGAAGCTCAGAAGGCTCTGAAGAAGGTCCTGTCAGACGACAACATGAAGGGAATACCTCTGATGGTGCTGGCTAACAAGAAGGACCTCCCCAACTCCATGAACATCAGAGAGGTGTCCAACCAGCTGGAACTGCCCAGCTACAAAGACCGAGCCTGGGAGATCCAGGCATGCAGCGGCCTGAAGGGAATGGGGCTCCAGCAAGCCTTCCTCTCTGTGGCCAAACTCATCAAGAAGAGCTGAGAGGATACACATCAGTGGAGATATCACTGTGTGAGAGACACTTGACAAGTTGGAGATACTGAGAGATATATATATATATATATATGTAACACACACACACACACACACACACATACAGTGAGGGAAAAAAGTATTTGATCCCCTGCTGATTTTGTACATTTGCCCACTGACAAAGAAATGATCAGTCTATAATTTTAATGGTAGGTTTATTTGAACAGTGAGAGACAGAATAACAACAAAAAAATCCAGAAAAATGCATGTCAAAAATGTTATAAATTGATTTGCATTTTAATGAGGGAAATAAGTATTTGACCCCCTCTCAATCAGAAAGATTTCTGGCTCCCAGGTGTCTTTTATACAGGTAACGAGCTGAGATTAGGAGCACACTCTTAAAGGGAGTGCTCCTAATCTCAGCTTGTTACCTGTATAAAAGACACCTGTCCACAGAAGCAATCAGTCAATCAGATTCCAAACTCTCCACCATGGCCAAGACCAAAGAGGTCTCCAAGGATGTCAGGGACAAGATTGTAGACCTACACAAGGCTGGAATGGGCTACAAAACCATCGCCAAGCAGCTTGGTGAGAAGGTGACAACAGTTGGTGCGATTATTCGCAAATGGAAGAAACACAAAAGAACTGTCAATCTCCCTCGGCCTGGGGCTCCATGCAAGATCTCACCTCGTGGAGTTGCAATGATCATGAGAACGGTGAGGAATCAGCCCAGAACTACACGGGAGGATCTTGTCAATGATCTCAAGGCAGCTGGGACCATAGTCACCAAGAAAACAATTGGTAACACACTACGCCGTGAAGGACTGAAATCCTGCAGCTCCCGCAAGGTCCCCCTGCTCAAGAAAGCACATACAGTGGGGAGAACAAGTATTTGATACACTGCCGATTTTGCAGGTTTTCCTACTTACAAAGCATGTAGAGGTCTGTAATTTTTATCATAGGTACACTTCAACTGTGAGAGACGGAATCTAAAACAAAAATCCAGAAAATCACATTGTATGATTTTTAAGTAATTAATTAGCATTTTATTGCATGACATAAGTATTTGATCACCTACCAACCAGGAAGAAATCCGGCTCTCACAGACCTGTTCGTTTTTCTTTAAGAAGCCCTCCTGTTCTCCACTCATTACCTGTATTAACTGCACCTGTTTGAACTCGTTACCTGTATAAAAGACACCTGTCCACACACTCAAACAGACTCCAACCTCTCCACAATGGCCAAGACCAGAGAGCTGTGTAAGGACCTCAGGGATACAATTGTAGACCTGCACAAGGCTGGGATGGGCTACAGGACAATAGGCAAGCAGAGAACACTTTTTTGGTTAGTACATGATTCCATGTGTTATTTCATAGTTTTGAGGTCTTCACTATTATTCTACAATGTAGAAAATAGTACAAATAAAGAAAAACCCTGGAATAAGTAGGTGTTCTAAAACTTTTGACCGGTAGTGTCAACTTTTGGCCTCCACAATCCCCCGACCTCAACCAAATTGAGATGGTTTGGGATGAGTTGGACAGCGGAATGAAGGAAAAGCAGCCAACAAGTGCTCAGCATATGTGGGAACTCCTTCAAGACAGTTGGAAAAGCATTCCAGGTGAAGCTGGTTGAGAGAATTCCAAGTGTGTGCAAAGCTGTCATCAAGGCAAAGGGTGGCTATTTGAAGAATCTCAAATATAAAATATTTTTTGATTTGTTTAACACTTTGTTGGTTACTACATGATTCCATATGTGTTATTTCATAGTTTTGATGTCTTCACTATTATTCTACAATGTAGAAAATAGTCAAAATAAAGAAACCCTTGAATGAGTAGGTGTTCTAAAACTAGTGACCGGTAGTATGTATATATGAGTGCACTACTTTCAACTAGAGCAATATGAAAAGTACCTCAGAAGTCATGCACTATAAAGGGAATAAGGTGCAATTTGCCATGCAGATTATAATGAACCAATGATTGTGGAAGAGCCATGATTTTCAATCCAATTATGGACTGAACTAAGCGCCGGATCCATATTTGGGCATTTTGATTGTGCCATCAACATGGTTGAGATTTAAACACTTGTAAATCACAGCAGTTAAATGTGCCTGCTCCTAAGGGAGACTGGAGAAAGATAGCTAGGGAAACTAATATGTTTGTGTTGCAGATACATAACCTTTTTTTTTACACTAATGATAACATATCAACTAATAAAACATGCTAAACCTAATGTAAATGTCTGTCTGCTAAATGGCATACATTATTTGTGCGTAGCCAGGCTTTTCTGTGTAGTGGGCGTGCTAATGCCTATTATGTACATGCAAAAGAATGTAGAATAAGGTTGAGTCATTTGATATTATGCATTACGTAATACATTTGACAAATGACACCGAGGTGAGGCCTCAATGTTGACATTTCCCCTATGCTGCCGTTTCCCCTCCTATTTACCAACATAACACATGACGCTAGGCTACATGTACACAAGGCATACCCTGCAGGTGGAGAAACAGATGCAGACAGGGTTTTGTTGGCCAATGTGTCTCCTCAGTTTCACATCTTTTCATGGTTAGTCCATCGACAGATCCATTCGGACTAGTTTTAAGCACACAAATAGGTCCAAAAACATCTACAGAACTTTCAAACGAAATCATCCGCTCTGAAATGGAATGAAAAAGGTGACGCTACATGGTCTAGTCCAGCTTCTTTGGGGCTTGGTAGGAGGGGTGAAGTCGTTTGAGTGACAGCCATGATTGCCACAGCAGCAGTCCAGGCACCACCACCCACACCCCATTGAAGAAGACCAGGTAGATCCATAAGTAGAGCCAGTTGTCTGTGTTGAGGTTGGGGCTGCCTACCAGCCAGTCTGGACAGAATGTCATCCAGCCTCCGTACAACTCACACACACACAACGTGATCTGGACAAAGTGCCTGAAAACAAACAGACACGGAGAACTATTCACCCGGGGGGCCAGACTGTGCAACAACTGTCAACAAGACAAGCTAAAAACACTTGTTGACCGTTGAGATTCAAACAAACAATGACAAGTTTACTTAGGCTGAACACCAACTTGCACCCAGGCTATATTTTCCATGTACATGGTAATAGGTCATTCAACACATCACATTCTGAAGACAGATGCTATAAATGTAAATTGTGACTTGCTAATGGTATGTAAACACTTGTTTGTGTAATGAGTAAATTCTGTATTAGATAATTAGTGCTCTCTATAAGAAAGATATTGTTAAATGGTACCAATAGTTATAGAATGCTCTCTGGTACCAATATGGAGATGAATGGCATAAAGCATAAGAAAAGCCTGACAATAAAGCATATTTAGTACCAGTGTTCCTACCTGTAGTGTTTGTCCTTGACGATGGCGTAGACGAGCACCAGCGCCAGGATGCCGTCCAGGACCACCGTCAGCAGCTCCAGGGAGACTATGGTGGGGTCAGAGTGGAGCCAGCGCTCATCTGCCTTTCCATACTCCTTCCCTAGACACACAGGAACAGGTTATCTGTTAGAGCAGTGTCTTAATAGATTCCTGGGGGACCCCAGGGCCAGTGGGTGCACATGTTTGTTCTACTCCAGCACTAACACAGTGATTGATTTTACATTACTGTATTCTATTCAGTTTAACATGAGCATTTCAATACTATGTCCACTAGATGTCTCCCCGCAACCAGGCTCCAAAGCAAATCTCAAACACACGCACCGTTGTTTCTTTAATTTATATTTTGTATGAGAAAACTAAAATGCATAAAAGATAAAAATACACAGTACTATAAATGTTTTTGTTTCATACATTATTTATTTTTTTTACATTGCACAGTCAATGAAGCCTACTTACAAAGTTCAGCAAAAATATTGTCTGAAGTTGCCACGGTTCCAACAAGTGACATGTAAACAAAGGGTCCTTCCTGTAAGATCAAACAGTGGAAAGAGTCAAATAACAATAGAGCTGCCAATGAACTCTCCCTATATTGACAACGCCTTCTCATTCACCTCACATAACACACTCACCAAGGTAATGTGAACAATCGCATCGTAGAAAAGCCACACGAGCACCCATCTATCAGTTCCAGAGCATTTTCTTCCCCATATCTGCGCGAGGATATAGCCCACGGCGAATTGAGCGGCGCAGGCCAGCAGAGAATAAACCGTCACCGGAGTAAAGAGAGATGGTGCTTCTTTAACTGCCACCGATTCCATTTTTACAGAAAACTCGGCTCAAACCATGAAAAATACACTTGGAACTTGCTACTACTGTCTTTTCCATAGAGATAGATAGAGGACTCATCTTTGTATCGGTGCCATTATAGCGTCTGACAGCATGGGCAGCGCCATTGATGCAAACTCAGTTTTGAAGTAGTACATTTTCTTCTTCATGATTGGTTGATCTGTCCTGATGACCCGGTTGGACATGACGCTAACAGGGTCACCAGTCGGGATCATTCAATTAAGTTGTAAGTCCCACCAAGTTGACTACATTAAAATGGCGGAAGCCCTCAATGGCACTTCCCATCCTAACATAGATTTTTGGCCACTAGAGTCCTCTATCATTCTCTATGGTCTTGTCCCAACTGGATTCATAGTCGTCTACCCCGCCCCACAGTGTCACGTTGTGAGAACTACATAATTGGCTGTCGGATAAATCTCTCCACTTTTGGGCCCTCCCAAGAGAAATGGGAGGGGGAGCTGGAGGTTGATGGTGAACCAGAGGAAGAGGCGAAGAGAACGTCGACTCCGCCCAAAAATAAGCAGACCAAGTGAGGAGCTTTTGTATGGGGGCAATGGGTGTCGAATTTAGTCATGATAAAAGTGAATTGCTATTTTGATAGGTGAGGCTTATTTGATCAAACAGAAGTTTCATAATACTTAGTTTATTAAGAGTGTACTGATGTGTCCTGCACGTGACATTCCGGAAACTTTGAGAAAAACTATTTTATATCGGTGTTGTGCCAATTCACACGCGTATCTGCCCTCTCATTGGCTAGAATGTTCCAACCCGATCTCGCCTCCCGCATGCCTTCGCGAAATTGTTAGAGCGGTCAGTCGACCATCTTGCCACGACGATTGTAGATGAAGCCAGGAGAGGTTCGGGAGTTAGGACCTCGGACAGCGATTATGACACGTTCAGTACCTGGACAGCGATTAATGACAGTAAAAATAAAGCATAGTAAATTTGACTACACAGTCAAATTAACTGTGGGGGGACTATTTTTCTTTTGTATTGTTTGTATATCATATTTTACATTTGTGTGACTGTCCTTGTCTATCGGTGTATCAGTGTTTTGTTACTTGTCATGTGTTTTTTGTAGACCCCAGGAAGAGTAGCTGCTGCTTCTGCAAAAGCTAAATGGAAATCCAAATAAACAGCGTGCTTTTGCCATGGTTCTCAATCAGTTTACATGAGTGAAATAAACATAAGTTACCAAAATGAAAAACGAAAAAGGCACAATGGATTTCAACTCACTCTTTTCTTTAATATGCACAAGAGTTGAAAGAAACATTGTGAGCCACCTTAAAGAGATATGGATTCTAAAATGTATAAAAAGTAAGACAGAGGCCAAAATGCTCTCTGTTGCTTTTTCTTCTTTAGTACATGTTTCGTTAGCAAGTAAAAATCTTGCCCAAAAGCATAAGCTTGTATCAGTTTCTGATACAAGACTACAATTCCATTCTTTAAAGTGGCTCTCATTCTATGTCTCTCTAGAATCTAGATCAATGACTGTACACCAGCTAGACTTTGTTCATCAGTTGTGAATGGCTAGTCCAAAAAGGCGTGGGCTGCTCCCCTGAAATAATCCCCATTCCTTCTCAGTAGTTAGCAGCCAAAACATAACTACATTAGTCCAAATGTAATTTTTGTTTCCAGTCCCTTCACAAATAAATGCTTTAGGAAAATCAAGACAAAAGTCCAGTTCACAAGAGAGCGAGACAATTTTCAATCATGTCATCATCATCGATCACGTTACACGTTAAAAACCAAAACTACAATGTTACAGCCTCGCAAAGTGAACCGATCGATGGATGACTAGCAACATGCAGCTGCTTTGTACAGACCGAACTTCAGACAGTTGGGGAAATACTCTTCAATTGTATAATTAGATGTAGCATATAGAACAAGAGAAAAATATGGAACAACTGTATGGTCAATGGACCATTGCAATGCAACCATAGCTTTGACTTATTGAAGCAAACATTGCTTTCCACACACAGTAAGCAGAGGGAGGGACAACTCTGAAGTGTGCATAAGACTGAAAAGAAACTGCAGATGTGGAATCTCCACAGATGAAATCAGTGTTACATTGTCTTTCTCTGTCCCTCTACCGATATATCTTTCCAAAATATTTCCTCAAATTCTTGAGTCATTAAATTCAATGTCTGAAGATTTGTCTCCCCTGCCAGAGGAGAGGTGTCTTTTCGAAAAGCCCAGTTGAAGCCTGGTTTTTAAGGCTTATTTGTTGTTGAGGGTTTTCTCGTTCGGAGGATAGAACCTGGAAAGAGGGGCTGATCCAAAACCCAGTTTAGAGGTTGAGGAGAGGTGTGTTTGGTTCCAGGTCAACTCCCTTCCCCCTCCTTCTCCTCCTCCTCTCAAACAAAAACCCTTCCACCAGCAAGCCATCCATAGATCAATACTACAAAGTCTTCCTTGTTGTTAATTTCAGAATTTCACTGTTGCATTATTTTTTTAAATATATATTTTTTGTACTTTAAATCCATTGTTTTTCATGATGATTTCACAACTAAAAGGAAAAATGAATAATATTAGTGGTGGGCGGTTGTTGAGTTCTGTTCAGTCCACTTGGGTATATGTCGACTGCTCACTTCTCCACATTGTAAAGATCCTCTCTACACTCTGAGAACGTTTTGAGAGCATTAATTCTCAGTGTTCTGTTCAGAAAAACAATGTAGTTCAATGAGAACTGAATAATTAACAGCCCTTTGATGAGGTCATCAATTAGAATGTTTAACAAAGGACAGCCTAGATGCTGTCCATACTCCTCAAAAGGATCAATTAACTCGGAGGTTGAGTGTCTTCAGTCACGGTGTCCAACGTGCTCTGATCCCAGACTCCAGAGAAGAGCACGCCTTTAAATGAGACCATTCCTCTTCTTTGCTGATATGATGATTGGTAGAACAAGATCATAGGTCCATGCACACGGATTACTTCAATCTCTTCAGTGTGTGTGTGTGTGTGTGTGTGTGTGTGTGTGTGTGTGTGTCGGAGTAAGAAAGAGAGGACAATAGCAACTTTCTGGCAACTGCAGGAATGACAGACGAGGCGTGTTGTTTTCTTTCTGGAACATTTAGAAGCATCGCTGTGAGACGCTTGAAAAGAGATGGATAATAATGATCCTTCCTTCCTTCCTTCAGTGCTTGAACTGTTGTTGTTGTTAGTGAGTGAGTGATTGATGTTGGGAAGGAGGTGACTGGAGGGTGCGGAGCAGCTAGAGAGTTAGACATACTAGGTGGAGGTTTGCCTTTAAAACTTGAACTCCTTGGTTTGCAGGTTGGTGGCGGGGTCAAAGTTGAAGGTTCCGCCCTGAGTGGCTTCGGGGATCAAGCTAGGATCCTCGTCGATCTAAAAAGAGAGAGGGAAAATAAATGGATCAGGGTGGTGCCATAGATGAACCAACACACCGGGAGTGGAGACTATATCCATTGTCACTACAGAAAACATAGGAGCATTTCTCATGAGATTTCATATAGAATTATGTAACAAGGCCTATAGCCAATTCCTCCGTCTTACCCCATTGATAGAGGAAGGGGAGGAAAAGGCCCTGTGTTTCTGTAGCACACATCCTACACCCAGCACAGCACTGTCAGGACAGCGCCGGGTTCTAACCGTGTGCAAACTGGAGGGCTTCTGTCAGAGCAGAGGTACTCACATCGTCTCCTGAGAAGTACTGGTCGATGATCTCGAAGGCTAGTTTGTAGATGTCCTCGTTTTCATGCTGCTGAAGGTTCTCGATCTTCTCTAGACCTGACAGGCAGAGAGGAATTAACATGAAAGTCAATCACAGTGAATCAATCTAGAATGTGTGCTGCACAGTAGCAACATTACACTGTCATAGAATGGCAACATGGTGAATTGACACACAAGCACTCTCCAACACACTTACCTCCACACTCCTCTATGATCTCAGCGATGGTGCTGGCCTCGTCCCCGGCCATGATGAGGACGTTCTTGAGGCCGTCTAGGACCACCTGGACCACCTGGGAGTCCTTCACAGACAGCAGGCTGCAGAACGGAGGAACCACATTCTGCTGCACCAGGTACTCCACCTATAGGGTCGGGTAGAACATAGCAGATCAGCCAATCAGGGCCTTGCTTTGCCTACAGACAGGTAAACCAGACTAGCCAATCAGGACCATACAAAACATAACACTGTATGGATTGGGTATTGATGGAAATAGCCCTGGTAAAACATACCTGATCTTTCCTTCCACTTATTGTCAAGTTGCTGATGGCCCAAGCTGCCTCCTTCTGTGTGCCAAAGTCTCCCTGCAGACAGAAACACAGAGAGAGGTTGTCAGTGGTTAGGGTAGTGTTCCTAACAGATCTCCACAAGGACATGGGGCTACATAATACTTTGTAGGGCTGCATAATGCTTTGTACGGCTGCATAGGGGCTACATAATGCTTTGTACGGCTGCATAAGGGCTACATAATGCTTCGTAGGGCTGCATAGGGGCTACATAATGCTTCGTAGGGCTGCATAGGGGCTACATAATGCTTCGTAGGGCTACATAATGCTTTGTAGGGCTACATAATGATTTGTAAGGCTGCACAGGGGCTACATAATGCTTTGTAGGGCTGCATAGGGGCTCCATAATGCTTCATAGGGCTGCATAGGGGCTACATAATGCTTCGTAGGGCTGCATAGGGGCTACATAATGCTTCGTAAGGTTGCATAGGTGCTACATAATACTTCGTAAGGCTGCATAGGGGCTACATAATGCTTTATAGGGCTGCATAGGGGCTACATAATACTTCGTTAGGCTGCATAGGGGCTACATAATACTTCGTAAGGCTGCATAGGGGCTACATAATGCTTTGTAGGGCTGCATAGGGGCTACATAATGCTTTGCAGGGCTGCATAGGGGCTACATAATGCTTTGCAGGGCTGCATAGGGGCTACATAATGCTTTGTAGGGCTGCATAGGGGCTACATAAGGGCTCAGTGACTCACCTTAGCCAGCTGGTGGATGATCATGGGCAGCAGGCCAGCGTCGATGACGGCCTGCACCTGCTGCTGGTTGCCTGCTGTGATGTTGGACAGGAACCACACCGCCTCCTAGTGGACGGGAGGGATACACACACACACAGGAAGCCATTCAGCTGAGAGAAACCCACAGACACGCACACCATGGATCACATGAGTACGACTGAGACCGTTACACAGAGGTATAGATACTCTTGGAAATAAACAACACTGGGGTCCATCCCATTTCAACAGTACTTAGTTACAGCAAAACAAACATATGCCACCAATAGCATCTACAAGTGTGCCTGTTACCTTGTTGATCTTCTCCTTGGGGTGAGTGAGCAGGTTGGGGAAGTGCGAGAGGACGTCACAGTTGAGCACCACCTGCGTCTGCTCGTCTGTCCCCGTCACAATGTTCCCCACTGCCCTCAGAGCTGCAGTCTATAGGATATGACATCACAGGTGGTTAATGACATCACAGGAAGTCACACACATTCCGTACAGTAAATTCCAGGTATATTGCCCATAGGCACAGATCTAGGATCAGCTTACCCTTCCCACAATCCTAACCTCAACCATTAGAGGGAAAACAGAAAACTGACCTTAGATCAGAGTAGGGGTGACTTCATCCTACTTAGGGCTGTGGCGGTCATGACATTTTGTTAGCCGGTGATTGTTAAGCAAATAACTGCCGGTCTCACGGTAATCTACCATTAATTAACAAACACATTTACATCTGGCTTCCACGCATAGCCTACAAGCCACTGATGCAGACCTTTGGAACATCTAATAAATCCATTTAATATAGCCTACACCATCACAATAAATCCATTATTTATTTTAGACAGGTCTAAAGAAACATGATATGAAGAAAATTGATCATTAGAAAACCCTTTTGCAATTATATATTAGCACAGCTGAAAACTGTTGTGCTGATTAAAGAAGCAATAAAACTGGCCTTCTTGAGACTAGTTGAGTATCTGGAGCATCAGCAATTGTGGGTTCGATTACAGGCTCAAAATGGCTAGAAACAAATAACTTTCTTCTGAAACTCGTCAGTCTATTCTTGTTCTGAGAAATGAAGGCTATTCCATGCGAGAAATTGCCAAGAATCTGAAGATCTCGTACAATGCTGTGTACTACTCCCTTCACAGAACAGCGCAAACTGGCTCTAACCAGAATAGAAATAGGAGTGGGAGGCCCCAGTGCACAACTGAGCAAGAGGACAAATACATTAGTGTGTCTAGTTTGAGACCCCAAACTTTTGAACAGTAGTGTATGTCACCTATGCACTTAAATAGCGAATGGAGGACACTTTTCCCATGGTTAATTTTCAGGCCAGCCAGGTAGGCTATACTCCTGTTGTAAAGAGAAGCAATGTGCTTAATATTAGGAAAGTTGAGAAATAAATATAGTAGGCCTAGCCTATAGAAAGCTGATTGGATCCTCCTCTCTTTAAGAGGCCATCACTCTGTTTTCTCACGCAATTGCATAACATGAGCTCTCATGGAGTGTTTGATTTTATTTTTGAAAACATTTGCCTTGATGTCAGAGTGATTAGAGGGACAATAGAGTGCCGAGTACCAAGCAGTTAGCAAGTTTGGTAGGCTACTAATGACCATCAGCAGCATCAGAAGCCTAATTACCGTGACTAAACGGTCACGTGGAATTTGACTGCGGTCATGACTTGTGATCGCCGCTGTGGCGGTAATACGGACACCATAACAGCCCTAATCCCACTTCCAAATCGGGGGACAGGAAGTAGACACATACCTGAACTTTGACCTCTTGGTGGCTGAGCAGGGGGACGAGGAAGGGGACGACCCCCGAGTCGATGACCATCTGAATCTGTTCGTTCCCTCCATCTGTGAGATAGGACAAGGCCCACACTGTATCCACTAGGATCTGACCACACAGAGAGAGAGAGGAGGGTGTTTTAACCAGGGAATTTACATAGGAAATGGCAAACCAACTAGCTTTGCTGTTGTGATAGTAGGGTGATACTTACATTTATATCAGTGTGGTATATCAATACACAGAGAGCAGGTAGAATCTAGAAGAGGAGGAGAGGATAGAGAGAGTGTCAGTCAGCCAGGCATAATGAGTGTAGGCGTACAATGAAGCAACTCTATTGAGCAGATCAACAGACAGGCGCCAGGGTGTTTTCTGTTTCAGCAGGCTGACACTGCAGACCTCCAGGACTGGGCTAGAGGATGGTTGGGAACAGGGAAGCAGAATGCTTGGCAGCACCCACAAAGTCCCAGACCACTTTCCCTAATCAAACCCCCATCGTCTGATTGCCTTCCCCTCACAGCCAAACACATGGAACACAGCCAGAGCTGTTTGGCAAAGGGTTCAGCTAATATTGACGACACAATAGGTACGTTCTGAGTCTATGGAAAGATTATAATTCAGTTAGATTGAATGACTGTGCTGAGTCTCACACACACACACACACACCTCTCTGTCTGTCTGTCTGTCTGTCTGTCATACCTCCTGTACTGTCTCCATGGGGGGCGGTGGGTCCTTGTTGCGGCAGAGGTTGACGATGACCCAGGTGACGTTGCGGAGGAAGGTGATGGGGATGGAGGGGTTAATAAAGGACAGCAGGGGCTTGACCACGCCCAGGGAGATGACGTAATCCCTGCACTGAGGTCCATCGCCTGCAGGGGGAGAACACAGGTGTGTGTGACTGACTGGCATCGCCCAGTGTGTGTGTGCATGTACGTGTGTGTGTGTCATCACTCACCGATGATGTTGCCTAGCGCCCACACGGCCTGTTCACATACGTTCTGGTGAGGAGATTGTAGCAGCCGCAGGAATAGCGGCACTGCATCTGGACATGTAGAGAGAAAGGCAGACCGATATGTTAGACAACGTTGCAGACAAGAGAGGTAGACAGACAGACAGACAGACAGACAGACAGAGAGACAGAGAGACAGAGAGACAGACAGACAGAGAGACAGACAGAGAGACAGAGAGAGACAGACAGAGAGAGGTAGAGAGACATAAGTTAGAGAGATACGTTAAATGGAGGTAGAGACATAAGTTAGAGAGAGGTAGACAGAGGTAGAGAGACATTAGTTAGAGAGGTAGAGAGAGGGTCTGGCAGACAAGAGACAGAGAGATGGGGAAGACAGTTGAGAGCAGGTGTTTCTATACCAGGAACCAGATGGATAGATTTGCTCATTTAGACAGGCACATCATGTATGCCTGGTGGCTCAGTTTGAATCTGGGCCACATAAGAACTAGGAACTACTTACTAGATTTGACCACAGCCTGAGTCTGTTGTGACGTCCCTGATGCTATGTTGGTCAACGCCCAGGCAGCCTCAAACTGGAGAGAGGGACTGGGGAAGAGGAGAGAGAGGGGAGAGGGTAAATGAGGCTAGCTATATGAAGGGATAAACAGAAGCTGTCCCCAGACACAACCAATAAGCCGGCCAACAGCACATTGCTGCTGATCAACATCAACAATCCATATCCCCATTAACCTGCATCACCACTAACCCTCACCTCTGTCTGCTATACATGTCTCACAGGCATCGACGCACGCTCCTGCCTCTGCAGTGCAATCCCCTCCATCACCCTCCTCTGTCTACACAACAAATACATCCCCCCATGTCACCAGCAGCCCTGTGCCTGTCCACGCCTGACACCCCACCCCTGCACATCAAGCCCCTGCCCCCACCACCCTCTCATCCCCCGCCCATCCACCAGTCCCTGTCCAGGGGAGTTCCCCCTAATCGCTCCCCACCCCCACCACTGAACAGAGAGAGCTGTCAGCTGTGGGGCAGCGCTAGTGCAGCAGAGCGGAACACACACGTTCCCTCCTATCCGTCTGTGTGTGTGTCTAATAGTGTTCACAGTAGCCCAGCCATGCGGAGGAGAGGGGAGGGTACACCAGTAGCCCCAGAGCATGACAGAGAGAATGGAAAGAGAGAGAGCATTCTGACACATACAGGGCTAGTCCACCCACTCATTCACTCACGCTCCAGTTTTCACCGCCTTCTCTCTTTTCGCCCTCTCTGACTTTAGAACGGGGGCATCACAGTAATACCACAGGGGCAATTTACTGCCCTCATCTATCAATTAGTCTTCCAGGGCAAAGGTGCCCCAAAACCCATACCGTCTCTCCCCTCCCCTCCCCCCCATAAAGAAGACTTACTTGTCGTCCCTCTCCAGGCATTTGACCAGGATGGGCAAGATGCCGGACTTAATCAAGTCGTCGATGGGGGGGTTTCTGTCACTGGACAGGAGTTTTCTAGCTGCCTGCACGGCACTGAGCTGGATGAGTCCGTTGTCACTGACAGCATTCTTGACAGGAAGGAGAGCGAAAACATGAGGTCAGCTCCAACATCTCAAGATGTATGTACGGGGTGGATCTCAACAAACTAAAGTGGTCCCCAACAACCCTGACAGAATGTAGGTTTACCTGTAAGATGGCTTCTAGTGTTACATTTTGCTGCAAAACAAAAAACAAGAGTTAGGTGAGATTTGCTGTAGCTATGAGTTTACATCATGTACAGTGAGGGAAAGAAGTATTTGATCCCCTGCTGATTTTGTACGTTTGCCCACTGACAAAGACATGATCAGTCTATCATTTTAATGGTAGGTTTATTTGAACAGTGAGAGACAGAATAACAACAACAAAATTAATTGATTTGCATTTTAATGAGGGAAATAAGTATTTGACCCCTCTGCAAAACATGACTTAGTACTTGGTGGCAAAACCCTTGTTGGCAATCACAGAAGTCAGACGTTTCTTGTAGTTGGCCACCAGGTTTGCACACATCTCAGGAGGGATTTTGTCCCACTCCTCTTTGCAGATCTTCTCCAAGTCATTAAGGTTGAGGCTGACGTTTGGCAACTCGAACCTTCAGCTCCCTCCACAGATTTTCTATGGGAATAAGGTCTGGAGACTGGCTAGGCCACTCCAGGACCTTAATGTGCTTCTTCTTGAGCCACTCCTTTGTTGCCTTGGCCGTGTGTTTTGGGTCATTGTCATGCTGGAATACCCATCCACGACCCATTTTCAATGCCCTGGCTGAGGGAAGGAGGTTCACACCCAAGATTTGACGGTACATGGACCCGTCCATCGTCCCTTTGATGCGGTGAAGTTGTCCTGTCCCCTTAGCAGAAAAACACCCCCAAAGCATATTGTTTCCACCTCCATGTTTGACGGTGGGGATGGTGTTCTTGGGGTCATAGGCAGCATTCCTCCTCCTCCAAACACGGCGAGTTGAGTGGATGCCAAAGAGCTCGATTTTGGTCTCATCTGACCACAACACCTTCACCCAGTTCTCCTCTGAATCATTCAGATGTTCATTGGCAAACTTCAGACGGGCCTGTATATGTGCTTTCTTGAGCAGGGGGACCTTGCGGGCGCTGCAGGATTTCAGTCCTTCACGGCGTAGTGTGTTACCAATTGTTTTCCTGGTGACTATGGTCCCAGCTGCCTTGAGATCATTGACAAGATCCTCCGTGTAGTTCTGGGCTGATTCCTCACCGTTCTCATGATCATTGCAACTCCACGAGGTGAGATCTTGCATGGAGCCCCAGGCCGAGGGAGATTGACAGTTATTTTGTGTTTCTTCCATTTGCGAATAATCGCACCAACTGTTGTCACCTTCTCACCAAGCTGCTTGGCGATGGTCTTGTAGCCCATTCCAGCCTTGTGTAGGTCTACAATCTTGTCCCTGACATCCTTGGAGAGCTCTTTGGTCTTGGCCATGGTGGAGAGTTTAGAATCTGATTGATTGCTTCTGTGGACAGGTGTCTTTTATACAGGTAACAAGCTGAGATTAGGAGCACTCCTAATCACAAATCTTTCTGATTGAGAGGGGGTCAAATACTTATTTCCCTCATTAAAATGCAAATCAATTGATAACATTTTTGACATGCGTTTTCCTGGATTTTTTTGTTGTTATTCTGTCTCTCACTGTTAAAATAAACCTACCATTAAAATTATAGACTGATCATTTCTTTGTCAGTGGGCAAACGTACAAAATCAGCAGGGGATCAAATACTTTTTCCCCTCACTGTAGCAAGGTTAGAGCTAAGAAACATATTCCTGTCATTCCTGAACTTGAAGTTGTAGTTAAACAATGAGGACTGACTGACCCCTTTGAAGTCAGAGTCTACGTCTGAGTCTTCCAGGCTCTCCTCCTGTGGAACGTTCCTCTTCTTCAGAAGGTGCTCATCTCGTTTATTCTGGGGAGAAATAAAAACAAACAAAAATATTGGTTGAATCCTATAAGGAATATAGAAGTGAATGCTATTGGAAACATTCACCCACACAGTCAGGGAATAGATTCCCTGCTTTACTCCTAAAGCCTAAGACTGCTCCCATAACCTCCCAGTGACGTTAGTGGCAGAGAGCATGACGGAGGAATGCATCCATCTCTGCACAGACTGTTCCCTTCTGCAGCACACATACAGCTATGTGAGAGAACTGCTGTGTCACTCAACCTACATTGGTGGTTTCATTTACGTAATTTAGCAGACGCTCTTATCCAGAGCAACTTACAGGAGCAATTAGGGTTAAGTGCCTTGCTCAAGGGCACAGACAGATTTTTCACCTAGTCGGCTCAGGGATTAGAACCAGCGACCTTTCGGTTACTGGCACAACGCTCTTAACCACTAAGCTACCTGCAGGTTTCCTTTTCTATAGGGGTAGGCCATGGTTATTTAGTAGCAAAAACAGAAGTTCTCTCACACCAAAAATACTGTCTTGTCAAATCATACAAGCCTACTCTATGTTTTTACAAAACCGCTGGTCAGCTCACACTTCCTGAAACACTTCTGCAAGCCTCATTGAGAGGGCATGTTGGGACAACATAGTGCAAAAACCAAGGGCTCAGAGTAGAGCTGGGAGATATGAACAAAGATAAATTGTCTGAATTTATGTGATAGAGTTTCGAACATTGATGTGCAACACAGTTTAAAAGTATCCTTTAAACTACTAGTATGATGGTTGTAGCCATCAATTGCCCCATTACCAATCACCCATTTTAGCAAATGTATTTCATTTCAAACTTCACATTTCTCTAGTACAGGCTTCTTATCGTAATGAACGATATCAGCTAAATGCCTGCAATAAGTGATCGGTATGGTCGGTGTCAATCATTTTCACTTTATCATCTCAGCTCTAGCTCAGTCATATTCCAGTGGAATGAAGTCCCCCCCCCCCCCCGTCCCCCCCCCTCCCAGATGCTGATCTAAGTTCAGTTTGGCACCATCCCCTCTAATAGTTATGGTTCTACCCAGAGCAGCTGCTATAGAGTCATACGTCCAGAGGAATAGTTATGGTTCTACCCAGAGCAGCTGCTATAGAGTCATACGTCCAGAGGAATAGTTATGGTTCTACCCAGAGCAGCTGCTATAGAGTCATACGTCCAGAGGAATAGTTATGGTTCTACCCAGAGCAGCTGCCATAGAGTCATACGTCCAGAGGAATAGTTATGGTTCTACCCAGAGCAGCTGCTATAGAGTCATACGTCCAGAGGAATAGTTATGGTTCTACCCAGAGCAGCTGCTATACAGTCATACGTCCAGAGGAATAGTTATGGTTCTACCCAGAGCAGCTGCTATACAGTCATACGTCCAGAGGAATAGTTATGGTTCTACCCAGAGCAGCTGCTATAGAGTCATACGTCCAGAGGAATAGTTATGGTTCTACCCAGAGCAGCTGCTATAGAGTCATACGTCCAAAACAAGCCAGTGTGTCTGATGAACCTACTTGCTGGCCCCTGGCCAGAGCTCTCTGCTTCCGCAGGCCAGGAGAGGGAAACCCTCCCCAAGGCTGAGGGGTAAGACCAGCCAGGCCTCTCTGACAGGGTGGGAGAGGGAAACCCTCCCCAAGGCTGAGGGGTAAGACCAGCCAGGCCTCTCTGACAGGGTGGGAGAGGGAAACCCTCCCCAAGGCTGAGGGGTAAGACCAGCCAGGCCTCTCTGACAGGGTAGGAGAGGGAAACCCTCCCCAAGGCTGAGGGGTAAGACCAGCCAGGCCTCTCTGACAGGGTAGGAGAGCGAGAGAGGGGGGTGACCTAAATACAGCCAAGGCATCCTGACTCTTCAACAACAACCTGAGCTTAAGAGGGGGGGTTGTTTCCTAACACACACACACTCCTATTTAGAAACAAAATGACTCCGCAGACAGAACAGCCCATATGGGGCAGGGGATGGACAGGCTGCTCTGTCTCGGCCAATTTGATAAACAGAGACTGAAACATTTCCCCGTCAAAATAAAGATGAAATAATTCTATAATCCTGCTTCCACCTAACATCCAAGTCCCAGAAAGACTCAACAGGCTGGGAAAAGGGCTTGCATGTATCAATTAAAATGACAGTGAGTGAGTGTGTGTGTTGTGCCATGCTGATGCATACCAAGATAAGAGGCGCATGACATACACGGCAGCGCTGGAATGGCATCTGTGGAGTGGGCCAGGACCAGAGGGGTGTGGTAGGGTGGGAGAGGTGAAGGGTGACACTCTGAGGCTAGCGTGGAGATTTAGCCTTTCTCATTTCAGTGTGAGGAGCAGCAGAAATAGGCTAATGGGTTAGTCCATTGAATGCGACTGAACTATAAACAGTCAACTGAGATGCTCTACTCACCTTTCTCAGCTCCACTGTCACTTCATTGCGATGTCTTCGCATAGTCTGTAAGAGAGAGAGGAGAACACAGTCAGAGATTAGCCTACTTCCTGGATCATTAAAAAGACAACCCATACACACTCAAACAAACCACATGCAATGTTTGTCATTTGGGACTGGCTCCATTTTGTTTACAGACTGGGCTTTAGAATACAAGTGTACTGCTGCATGTTGGCAACAGGCGGCAGAGGATCATGTTAACTTGACTGCCAGTCAGGGTATCCTGGTTCATATTACTAATACTGTGTAACCTCCCTCATGAAAGCAATGATTATGTTTGTGTTTATCCACCGACTCAAAGGTGTGACCTGCTGCTGCTGGCAAGACGCTGCCCCTGATCTGACACCCTAGCTCGAGGTCGCATCAAAAATCTGATGTGGTTCCGTATGTGTTTGAAACACTATCTACTGAAGACGGAAAACAAAGTTTTGTCGACACTATCTTTTGCGGGAACTGTGTTTAGGGAGGATAGTGAATCAGCCATGAGAGAATGCCTGAGAGTGGCTCAGCTGGCGAGCTGGGAGGAGGAAGTCAGAGACCTCTGAAACTCAACAACGATCGATCAAATGTATGGAATGCCAGGCATTTCTCTGGGACACTCATTCCATGCTGGGACAAGAGGGAGACTTCCTGTGAGAGGGAAGGCTGCATCAGCTCATGGACAACACACCAGAGGTCTTCAACCTTTTTTTACATTTGAATACTACTTATTCTGCATAGCCAATGTTTATTGTGGAGTATCCTGTTATATGTTGGGAATATTATTGTATTGTAACAACATCATACACAGCAGTCACTGTGGCCCTCTGTGGTGGCGTAGGTCAGAACTTGTGAAAGGAATTAATTTTCTGTAACCTACAGCTTTTAACATTCCTTGAAGTCTGTAAACAGCCTAAATCTCATTGAAGATGCTGTGTGTATGTGTCCTCTCTCATGCAGTAGAATTCAGCCCCATAGGAGCAGGGTGAGATCAGATAGGACTGGATAGGTTTCAGTGCCTAAAGGATAGGGTCTGTATCTGGACACGGCCTTTCGTTTCTGACAGCAAGTGATCCATCTAGCATTCTTGGCTTAGCTGCTGCAAGCTTGTCAGTGGGGCTGGTGGGTCGTCAGACATGTGCAAGTCACACTGGCACTGGGCCCCAAAACAACCATGTCGCACTTCTGTTTCCTCTCCGCTCAATATAGCACATACCAGATGGACATGAAACCAGCATGCCTTCCGTCCGAGACCACTGTGTTTCTAATACATAATAATATGGGATAGGGATACTCTTAACATGTTATTAACATTTATGTTAAGGAGGTGTGGCAAATACAGAAACAAGGGAAATGGCATGGCATGTCCCTATGAATGAAATGTGCGGCCCTAATCATACGAGGTTTAATGTATCAGCATGGTGACAGTAGCATCATTAGCTTTAGTTCCAGATGTGCTATGGTGTTTTTATGGTACATCTGCTCTGACTCACTGTTTGTCTGTTAAAACACCCACCCTGCGGTCACTGGGATAATTAATTGTAAGCTATGTTTATTCACGTAGGTAGTTAACTAACTAGTTATCTGGGTATATTATTATCATCAACTGATTAATAACGCCGAATCTCAACTGTTGCAGCCGTGGAAATTGAGTTGTGCTAGTTGTTGGGTAACAGTTAATGTGCATCATCCACCCATTTTGACACATACAACTAACTATGGTTAGTTGGTTTGGTTAACTGGTAAGCGTATCTATCTCAGTTACAGTGACTGACTTGCCAACTCGAAATATCAAATGCCATGCCCATGAACATCAAGGTAGTTAGTTGGCTGGTGCCTTTTACCAATTATAACTATTACTTTCATTTAGTTAGTGCCAAACTAGTTAATTTCCACACAAAAAAAATACTCACAACCTAACTAGCTGCTAGTTAGCACAGAGTTAGCAACTTTTCTGGCTAGCTAGCAGGCCTTCATGCGAAAGGCCGCGCCCGCTCCGCATGATAAACTTTAGCTAGTTAGTGTATGTGGATGGTATTTTGTCATAATCGGCGACACTTTATAGAAAAAGACAACTTCAACAAGGACAGCCGATGAATACTGCAGCAACCAAACCGAATAGGGAGCTAGGTAACCCCGAGTGTTCGCTAGCACTCGTTGCTAACGGCTAGTTAGCCAGCCAGCTAACGTTAGCCTAGCTAGATTCTCACCTCGACATCGCGCCCCTTGTTTTTGAAGCTCTTAATTCGGTGGTTATCCAAGTCGGCGTTTTCTGCCATGGCTGTCTGTGTTCGGGATGTTTAGCTAGTCCTGCGCTTGAAGCTCCGGTTGGAAAAGGGAAAACGTACTGCTGTTTTGCAGAAGGGTGGGTAGCCAGACGTGATACACCGCGATGGGATAATCTCGTCGAGAAGGAGGAGCCACGGAATTCTGTCAGTTGGGGGAGGAGGACCCATGGCTAGTACGCGTGCATCCCCTGATGTAACCGATTTCCTTGCAACATTGTTGCTCAATGTAACTAGTTGATACCCTTAAATTGCTGCAATATATCAGTTGTTTTTTAGTCTCCAATGTAGATATTGTACATTGCTACCAAACGACTTGCTAATCAACTATGCTATGGCTGGCTACCTTACACTGATTGCTTGCTGTTGTTGACAGGTAGGTTGGATTTGAGCCCAAAAGGGATGACTTTATTATGAAGAATCACTGAAGATCAATGCTTCACAAATTAAACACAAAAAATTAATTGACTTTACTGTTAATCCACACAAATGTAGTTAAACTAATATTTGAACAAAAAACTATCACATCACTGCTACATTTGGTTGTTTAGCATTGCTTTAATGTATTACCTACTTTATTATCTACAACTAAATATACATTATCATATTGCACTTGAGGAAACTACAGAAACATATTCTTTCACATATTACCCGTCCTGTTTTTTCAGATCATTGCAGATTAAGTGCCACTCACTGTCATTTACTGAACTAAAAGGACAGGAGGGTAGTATGAATAAAAGAGACACACAAAACTGAAACAACGCAACAAAAAAAGGATAATGGATAATGCTAATCCCATGTTGAATGAATGTAGATGTAACTTTAGACCAGCGTCTACTGTCAAGAGCCAACCCAACCCCCCGGGGGGGGCAACCTCACTGTAGTACATTTAGTACCACCGGAGGTTGCTGAGGGGAGGACAGCTCATAATAATGGCTGGAACAGCACGAATGGAATGGCAGCAAACACATGTAAACCACGTGTTTGATACCAATTCTGCTACAGCCATTACCACGAGCCCGTCATCCCCAATTAAGGTGCCTCCAACCTCTTGTGTTCAGTATTCAATTTAATTCATTGGGGCTCAATGATCAATCTCAATTTGTGGCCCACATTACCTCCTAGTGGTAACATTCTGTACTGTCACCAACCTCTCCAACTGAAGTTGAGACTGCACTCACCTAGCAGGAGATTTGTTTTGTTTACAGTTGGTGTTGCCAGGATATGTTCACTGAATACCACTCCTGTCCTCCGACCCATTCTAGTCTACAATGATTTAAACTGTCAGTCATCTAAACATGAGTGCCCAGGACTTAATAACATTCAATATTGGAGGTAAAAAATTCACCACTACTCTGTCAACTCTCAGAAGACACGAAGACTCAAGAATAGCTAGGATCCTCGACGGCAAAGACACAGATTTTAAAGTTATCAGTGGGCAAGTTTTTGTAGATAGAGATTGGACTTTCTTTAAATACATCCTGGATTATATGAGGACAGATCAAATCACCCTGCCAGCAGAATTCTCTGACTACAATGGCTTGGCTCAAGAGGCACAGTTCTATGGTTTGTATCCATTGGCACTTTGGGTTGAGAGGAACATCCATCGATCCAGAGTTGAGGTTCTAGAATTGCGCTTCTCTGTCCAGGAAACTCACGGATTCTTCCGAATATTCTGCTCCAACAACAAAACTCTGGAGGCTTTGGCCACAAAGATATCAATTTTCGTGGAACATCCTAATCTGCATGGGAATTTTTCCACACCTGCCTCAGAACTCCAACACACCTCGTCCTGTACCGGTCCAGAGACCCTCTCACCACGACCTGGTGTTCCACTGTGGGACTGACCAACTAGCCAGGGACGACTTCTCTGCCAGGTGAAGGGAAGTCACACTCACCTGTAGGCTATTATACAAATCTCAGCGTTTCCCATTGTCCAATTCCTCAAGGGCTCCATACTGTATGATGAGTTTATTAGTCACATGCAGAGGGTTGCAGATGTAATTGTAGGGTACAGTGAAATCCTTAAGCTCCGAGCTCCAACAGTGCAGGTCAAAAAGAGAAGTGAATGAAACAATATTACAAATAATAATTAAAATATAAACATATTTACAACTGTAACACTAATACATGTCCATTGGGGGGGTGTGGGCAGGGTAAATGTCCATTGGGGAGGTAGAATGTCCCTGAGGGAATGTCCATTGGGGAAGCAGCAGGGGGGGGATGTGAGAAGTCCGGGGGGTAGGAGGGGGATAGGGGGAGTAGGTAGCTGCCTAGTGTATAGGCACTCGCCTGTGTAATGATAGGGGAAACACTGGATCAGTAATAACTCTTGTATGTTTATTCAAAACACTATATTATGCATCGTTTTTAAAGACCAAACTTGCATTGTTTTACTCTTACAGGTTTGTAACTATTGAGCCGGACGACAGAAAGCTTCTCAACAGCACCAACGTCCTGGGCCTGCTGGTAGACACCCTTCTGAAGGATGGGTTCCGCCTGATAGGCACAAGGACAGTTTCCCCAGAGGAGAAGATTGAATGCTACATGTTTGAAAGAAGTAGGAATACCCAGATCGTTGTACTGAGTGAAACCAACAGGGCAGAACATCTCAGAAGAGAGGACACACAGAGCAAGCTTGGTGAAGGAAAGAAAAATAAGTGAACTCAAAAGTGTCAGGGTGCATCTCAAAAGTCTGAAGTAGTTCTCGTTCCATGTCCAGTTCTGTAATATCAGTGGACTTCAGACTATTGTCTGGGTTGACCAGGAGATGGCGACAAAGGATAATAATATTGAGGGCCATTATGTCAATATCTTTCACCTCACTGTTAGTCTCTATTCATACAGTATATTGTATTTGACATATCAATTTGCTGTGTCCTAAAGTATATTTCCAAAAGTACAATTTTCAAAATGTAAATAGATTTGAGAATTTATTTTTATCAACAATACAAATAAAAACATAAATAAAATAAAAATAAACATGTTGTTTAATTCAGCCAGGTAGCCCATAGACTGATGTCGAACGGCAATGCTTTGCTTCAACAGCACCGTCAATACTGGAGGCTTCAGCAGTGGTGAACTCCAATATTTACGTGCTGCTACAGCAAGGCAGCCAGTCACAGAATGGCGGTCACTAGCCTCGGACGTCCAGGCTTCACTCACGTTGTCACAGACATGCACATAACATCACAGCCATCCTCTCTTGTACCCAGTCTGAACTCAAGCCCTTGCCTTAGACACTTATCATAGGTCTGAGAGGATAGGATGGGTGTAAGCACAGGGTGGGCAACTCTAGTCCTGGAGGGTTAAAGTGTGTATGCAGGCTTTTGCTCCAGCACACCTGATTTAATTGATTGTGGTCTTAGACCACAATTAGTTGAATCAGGTGTGTTAGAGCTAGGCTGTAACAAATGCCTGCATACACCGTGGCCCTCCAGGACTTAGCCTAGCAGGTGGAACTATTAGTGTATTGCTTGCACTCTTCCAATCCTTTTTCTCCATGTTTCTCCGGGCGTTACTGCAACAGCACAGTACAGCCTGTATCCCTGTAATACCCACAAACCATTCTGTGCTGCTTCAGCACCGCAAGGCCTGACACTTCTACACTAACATCCACATATACACATCAGCCTGGTATGAAGGGTGGCTAGAGTTCTCCTCTATCTGAAACAAGACAAGAAAAGCCAATGAGGTTGGGATGGTATGGTCATGGAACACTAACAGCATGCTGCGTCCTCTGCCAAGAGGTATGGGCCTTTATGGAACATGTGGTAGTATTCTCACCTCCTAACCAGAGACCGGGCTAAAAGTAACACAAGGTTGTAACAGCTACATAATTCAAATTAGAAACCACTTAGAAAGCTGTTATTCAATGTGCTAATGCTTGTTTAGTGTCTCTACATACGTGAGAAGTTTTAGGAGTACCCATCAATTATTTTATTTTAGTTTTATTGACCAAAAAGTGTTTTGGGGCCTAAAGTGAATAGTCTTGCCGCCTCTATTTTTTTTTATTGACCAGTGGAACATTCCCCATGTATCTATTCATATATCATTTATCTGTAAGAATAGGTTTTTTGATTAGTTGATGACAATAATTATTGTAGTATTTTTTTCAAAAGATTCAGATTAGATTCAAATTAGTAATTGGGGTCAAATGTAATGCATGTTACAATTGACCCCTTACCTAAGATTCTATGGTATTTTATATGGTATTTAGACACATTCACATAATGATATAACATTTCACTTCTTTACATCAAGTTTCCCAGTACAACTAAGATAATACCTTTAAAAAAAAAGTACAATTCATACTTTTGAATGCTAATATAAAATATATAAATTTGGGATAATTTGTTTTTGGTCAATATGACATGGCAAAAAAATTTAATTAAAATATTTTTTTGTCAACTTAGTGTATTTTCATCCAAATATCAGTTTCAAATCATAACATTTTTAAATTAACCCTTATTTTTACAATTGAAGACAGGTGTTACATTGAACCCTGCAGCTGTTACATTGAACCCTGCTGATGGGGTCAATTGTAACAATGCACTTCGGCCACTCTCGTTGAACTCGAAACGTCTGTATTTCCTAGAAACGTAGTTACAGTGTGTAATGGTAGCTGAGACATGTATGTTGTTTGTATACAAATATTATTAATCTAACTCAAACAATCTTTTCAGAAATAAGCAAAAGGCAAAAAGTGTTAATTTAGCCTAAGCACCACTATTGATAACACAGAAATTAACTTGTAACAGTTGAGAATGACAAGCCCATGCATTGTTGTATTATATAATATAATGTATATATATTTTTATAATTTATATTTATTTCTATCAATTATTAGATATTTTCTTAGGCTCTGGCAGTGATAAAACAGCAGTTGATGTGGAGAACTGCACCGCAACTGAAACGGAAGTCCCGCCTCTTATTGGTTACGGTTGATGATATAACCCGTTTCTAAATTGATCTAGTTGTTAATGCCTCAAAAAAAAAAATCTCCAGTGGCTGAGTCTACTGTCTGTTACATGACGTCATTGTTATTGTAAACAGTCGACCCTCCACATCAAGCATTAGTATGTCTCTGTTCATCAAATACAAATAAGGAAGTGTACAGGCTATTGAATAATATAAGGAAGTGTACAGGCTATTGAATAATTGTCATTTATGAAATGTAATCATCTTTAAGGCCTAGGTAGGCTATTTCAAGCAATGTATTTATTGAGGAACACCCACGGCGATCATAACAACAACTGTCACACACCGACTTGATGAAAAAAATGTTACAGACCGACTGAGTGAGAATAGCGGTCATAACAACTGTCACACACCGACATGATGATTTTTTTTTTACAGACCCACTGATTGAGAATAAATGAGTAGTCATCATGCTACTTACCTGCGCATATGACACCTGGAGACGGTAGCCTATAGCCAATGATCCGGTTTAGACTTTTCCCAATGCGCACAGGAAGCTGCCGATTGAAACAGCAACATAATATTCCAGTGAGTTGAACAAGCCGGTCATCACGCTTCAAGGAAGTTCTATTCTTTTGTTACTACTGTAGTAGCCTATTTATAGGCAACCCCATAGCGCTAGGTTTGCGAGGGAGGCGGGGCGATGGCATTTGAAGAAAAAAGGGAGATCACTTGACCTCAGCCGACACAGGAGATCATACACACAAACCAATAGATCAAAGCATCCTCCATCGACTTTATATATAGACAGAGCGTCACATACGTTGGAACAAGCGATCACCTTCCCCCTATCTCTATACTACCATAGTCGGTGAGCCCTCATCCAAAGACACACGCTTCCGGGAGAGAAGAAGTCGGCTTTCGAAGTTCGGTTAAGTGAGATAGGTTGGGTGATGACTATAGTCGTCAGGAGGAGCTGTCAGGCTTTTTCTTTAACTCTATATTACGGGGCGGCAGGTAGCTTAGTGGGTAAGAGCGTTGTGCAAGTGATCGAAAGGTCGCTGGTTCTAATCCCCGAGCCGACTAGGTGAAAAATCTGTCGATGTGCCGAAGTGCAAGGCACTTAACCATAATCGCTCTGGAAAAGAGCGTCATGACTAAAATGTAAAAAAATGAACTATTTGTTGCGTAATTTTGCGTCGTTGGATAGGCCTAGGCCCTACAGTGGGGAATTGTATCTCGCGCGTCAACGCCAACTAACACTGGCTGCACTGCATTGCAATGATGATTAAAATATTTAATTAGTTGATAATGTCGTTTAAAGTTGCTTCATACAATGAAATAGCAGTTGAAAGTGTTGTTGGTGGAATTGCCTTAAGCTTTTCAATTTTTCACATTGTTGTCCACATCCTTCTCGTTCCATGTAGCACCCATTTCCCCATATCATCACTTTGTTTCTCGTTTTCTGTGCTAAAAATTGTAAGAGCAAAATGTAGTATTTTGAAGGTGCATGTGTTTAATCATAAATGCTTAGTTTCATGCTTAGTTCATTAATTTCTTTGAAATAATGTATTTTAATCTTACATTTAGATGTCACGCTACTTAGGCTACATGAATTATAGTACATTTCTAGCTAATTGTTAATTTAAAACATCATTTGTTTCATTACAGTTCAATTAATGTATAGGCTATTGCTATAGGCTGAAAGGCTATCTTAAAGGAATATAGACGAAATAGAAACAATTCGTTTGGGAAAATATTTGCAGTCAGACATAGTAAGCCTACTCAACAAAATATCATCAGCTATGTTTGGAAGAGTATTTTCTCGTGCTCACTGAAATAAGATAGCCCAGTCTGATTATCGAAAAAAAATAATGTGTTAGAAAACAAAACTCTGAATTTGTCCTCTTCATTTAAATAGAAATTAGCAATATTATTTGGAATGCATTATATAGGCTATTGTCTATGAACGCTTTTAATCCTTGAAATAGAAGGCCTACAGGCTAAAAACATATATCGAATTAATTAGCCTATGTAATGGAAAATTGGACTTACAACGTTTTTTTTCATTTCTCCAAATCGTAATTAAATGGTGCTTATAGGCCTATGGATAAAATACTATAACATATACAAAAATATCATGCCTATTAATAAGCCCCGCATTAATCTGTGACACCTGCCGTCCTCGTGCGACCCGAAGATTGTATTCATGTTAAGCTAATACTTTATTTACTTCTACATGGAACGAATTTGAAACATAAATTCGTCCAGTTTTCTTACAATTCAGTCATTGTCTTATATTTAACTTGCTACTACAGCTGAGTAATTAGGCTACATTGTTAGACCTAATACATTGGTATTACATGGTTACCAAAGTACAGTAACAACATGGCATATAAGGACAAACTGTTGCATCACATATTCTCTGATGTGTCTGTATCGACAAGGGGCATCAGCGATGACAGACATGTCTGCTATGGCAACAGAAGACCCACAGTATCTACAAAAGGCCAACCTCAGAAACAGTTGATGTCCCATAAGTGAAACAAAACATGACAGTGGATCCTATGAAAAAACATAGCCTACATTCAATGGTGTTGAAAATTACCTAGTTTACAGGGACATCTGAAAGCCCATGTTTCAGTGGCATTGGTAGAGGGGTGATCCCCTGTATAAATAAAATACATACTGAACAAAAATATAAATGCAACATGCAACAATTTCAAAGATTTTACTGAGTTACA